CTCACGTCCAGTTTACGACAAAAATATATTCAATTCTAGCTTATTTTGCTTTGAACTTTTGTCTTCTGTGTATCCCCGGGACAGTGTTGCGTCGGCCACATGATTCTCATAATGCTTGCTCATAAATGTTGACATTTGATGGTTTGATATCGTAACCATACATATGTTAGAATGCTGTTTATTCCCATTGTGTGCCCTTGAGTCTCTGCATGAGGTACTCGACCTCAACAATCTTGGTCAATGGGATGACACATTCCTAGTGGAGGAGCACAAAAGTCAGCGATCATGCACCCAGAACCAAAACTCCAAAATGTCTCTTCTCACCTTGTACATAGCAACGACAGCCTCAATGTTAATCTTGGAACCATTCTCATCAGGAAAAGCAGGATCAGTGCCATAAGTCTTCGCCTTGAGACCCAAACGTTCAAGAACCTTGAGCTCAACCGCGGAATTGGTAATAGCAGCATCGATACCCGCCCGATCCTCCGCCTTAATCAAACGCACAAAAGTTTCAGGATCCTTCTGGAACTTCGACTCAGCAACGAACTTTCCGAAATGAATGCGGCGCGACAGTGCCTGCAAAACAGCAACATCGCAGGTCGCCGCGGAACCGTAGTTCTCCTGTGTCTCGCCACGGTCCTCCCGACCAAACTTGGGGCACACTGCCGGCAGGACCTCTTTAATGTACCGTTCCTTGATTACGTCGTTGACGCAGACATCGTTCTCGTGCAGGATGCGCGGGTATTCCAGCGGTTGCAGGATGGGCTCTTCGAGCACGTCCGGGAAGAAGGGGTACTCGTCGGGCGACTGGTAGCGGCGTACTCGCGACTGAATACGCTCTTGTTCGCGGAGTAGGTAGTCTAGCAGACTGAGCTCGCTGTTGGGGATCTTAACGCCGCCGGGGGCGTAGATAGTCTTGTTCAGCGGGAATTGAACCCGTTCGATCAGGTGAAAGGTAATGGTGTCTTCCAATCGACTGTGGGCCTGGAATGTCAGTTATCAGCTCTCATTGCGGTGGGGGTTGGAGGTTCAATAGAAATGTAGTATTTCGTGTGTATAGTGTGTATTGAAGGTTATGGCGGGGGCGGGGAAAGAGTTTGGGCAGTCTTTTAGCTGGGGGAAAGGTGAGAACTCACATCAACTGGAAACGAATATTAGCAAGGTCCAGTGCCTTGAGGGCATCAGAGAGGTCAATGGCGGTGTCCATGGCTTGTATGTGGTGATGTGTAGATGAAGAGAGTCTGCGGGACTGCAAAGTTGTTTCTGAATACCTCTAGTCCACTCCGCGCGTCCTCCCATTTATATATGACAGAAAAGGGGCAAAAAGAAAGGAAACATGCAGTGAGAGAAGGTCTACATCGTTCTCATATGCAGAGATCAACAATTACAAATAGAAAAAACGGTGAATGAACAACGATCAGCCTTCCAATGATCTGGTATATGATGATCCATGCATTTGGTACTTTGGACCGTATGCGACCGAGGCACTTGCAGAAACACCACAATCGAGCAAAAACCAACACACTTGAACATCCTTGCACTTGGATCAAACATCGATTTAAACCCATATTCCGACAAGTCGAAAGCGAAAGCACCAGTGCTGGTTTCAGCTTGTAAAAGTACGATACGGCAGTACCCGGGGAACGCGGTAAACCCGCGTGGGACACCAAGTCTCCTACTTCAACCTACCTCAAGCTTCCAACTTTCCTCTCCTCGTATCGCATGGGTTTCGGTTGAGGCCAAGATACTCTCCGTCTCATGGAGAACCAGCGCCGCGACGACTCGCCCTCGGGTCTATCAGATATCGTCGAGGGCGATGGCCTTCTGGGCACTGGCTTAACGGTAGGCTTTTTCCCACCCTCCGATGGCGCACCCCCCACCAAACTGCAGGCTGATTGGATTTCCTCTGCGGTGATTGCAGACTCGTCACCTTGAGGCATTCGGACGAAAAGTCACAACGACCGCAGGACACCTGATGGGACCGGGCGAACAGAACAGCGCCCACTTGCACAATGCTATGACCGACATCCACCGCGAGCTGCGGCGACCGGCCACGCAGCGCAAAGTGTTCTCTCTAACACAAACAACGCCGACCGACCTTGTCCGCTCAAAGCTTTCGACTACCGAGATCCAGTCGCGTGCCCTTTCATCCCTCCCGGATGATCTTCTCGCCAACATTCCCGAAGACAGCAGCTCCTACTCCCTTTTCCAGGGCTTCCAGGCCTCCGTTCCCGAAGAAGAGCACGAGAAGAAGCGACACCGAAGGCGTACCTCCAAGGGGAAGCATTTGAAGGACGTGGAGAGAGGTGGCACCTTGACTGCCGGCCCGGCCGGGTTAAAGGATCAGCGGAAATCGCTGAGTCGCAAATTGGAGTTGATGGGAATCCGGAAGAATATGTGTAGCGCAGAGATTCATGAAATCGATAACAAGGTCGCCAACTTACACAAAATGCGCAAGATTGTTCTCGATCGATTGGCCGGCTTGGAAATGGACGAAGCGGGATTGGAGCAAGAACGTGGGTCAACATGTCGATACAAACGAAACCATGGGAGAAAACTGATTAACATGGAACAGTGACGGATCTCGATAATAAATTGGAAGATTTCCCAGAAGAGGAGGAATCACAGGACACACCAGTTGCGACGCCGCGGTCAGACGGCCAGGATGGTTCTATCGCATCGTCGGGAGATCCAGCGATGGACGCTTCGTTCATGTCAGAATCCATTTACGAGAAAATCCCCTCACCTTCACCAAAAAGTCTACGACATAAATCTAATCGTATGGAATCCTTCAGTCTGGTACGCGAAACACAACTGACAACAGATTTAGGGAAACGGTCGATGCCAATTCTACATGAACACTTCGCCCCGGGGTCTCTGATCAAGGAAATAGAAGCGCACACCGACATGGTCACAGCCATTGACTTTGACTATCCATTTGGTACTATGGTCAGCGCTGCACTAGATGATACTGTGAGAGTTTGGGACATGAATGTCGGCCGATGCTCCGGTTTCTTGGAGGGACACAATGCCTCGGTTCGATGCTTACAAGTGGAGGATAACATCGTAGCCACGGGTTCTATGGATGCTTCTGTCAAGCTGTGGGACCTGAGCCGTGCTCGGCCCGCGACCCGGGATGGACGCCTCAACAAACACGAGCGTGACCAAGAAGAGGGAGCTTCAGAACACAATTTCCCAGTACCACCGTCCTCTAACCTCGAAGACTGCAATGTATTCTCGCTAGAGGCACACGTTGATGAGGTGACAGCGCTTCATTTCAAGGGTGACACCCTTGTCTCAGGTTCTGCAGACAAGACACTCAGACAATGGGATCTAGTCAAAGGTCGCTGTGTCCAAACTCTGGATGTTCTGTGGGCGTCAGCCCAGGCATCCTCGTCCATGATGGGAGACTCCGACTGGCGACCATCGGGTCGCATGCCCGATGCTTCGGCCGACTTTATTGGTGCAGTGCAGTGCTTTGACGCTGCGCTGGCATGCGGTACGGCAGATGGCATGGTCCGTCTTTGGGATTTGCGCAGTGGCCATGTCCACCGGAGTCTTGTAGGACACACGGGGCCGGTCACATGTCTTCAATTTGATGATGTGCATCTGGTCACGGGTAGTCTCGATCGCAGTATTCGGGTAAGCATACCAGTTTTTTCTCCTTTTTTTCTCTCTCGCTTGGGTATTGTTTCTAATTGTTCGTAGATTTGGGATCTACGTATGGGCTCTATTTACGACGCTTATGCCTACGAGAAGCCAATCACCGACATGATGTTCGATGCCAAACGAATCGTGGCCGCTGCCGGAGAGAGTGTGGTTAAGGTCTACGACAAGGCCGATGGCAACCACTGGGACTGCGGTCCAGGTGCTGGACTTGACGACGACGGGCCATTCCCTGCGACCGTCGAGCGGGTTCGTCTTAAAGACGGCTACCTCGTTGAGGGACGTAAAGACGGCACCATGGCTGCCTGGACGTGTTAGATAGGTAAGATCTTCTTTTAGTTAGGAGGTGCATACTTGGGGGGGGGGAGGGGGTCCACATCTTGCTTTTACCTCAGCCTTTTTGCGACCGTTGTATAGTATTCAATCTATGTCTTAGTAGCGACCGGGTGAATCAGGAGTAGGGCCAAGTTGGTTATTCTGTATACATGATCAAAGTCCTTCAGGCAGGGGAGCAAGATGAAACAAAAATAGCAAGATCGTAGTAGTCCGAGGCGCAAGAGTTGACAAAGAGACTTAAGCAACAAAGACTATGGAAGTGAGACTATAGTCTATAAAGAACAGCAGAAATATAAAGAACATCAAATTCCAGAGTCCGATGTTGTACATATATACTCCAAAAGTCGAGAGTTGAGATTCTTCAGTGATCTTCTAGACTTGCGCCTCCACCCTTTTTCCCCTACTTTTCATTCACTTCACCCCAACCTTCTGAGTTCTCCCCCGGATTCCTGCCAACTCAGACCCAGATTGTCAGCTATTCTTGGAACAAAGCGAACACCCTTCGATCTCTCTCGGGCGGATCACCTTCGGAAGCTACTGGTAACTGCAAGTCACGTTCCCGTCGCGTCTGCGCGTCTCTCCGGGGCCGCGATCTACAGGCTTCGGACAACTACACGCGGCTTTTCGGGGTCTGCATTTTTAATCTGTTCTCTGGTAAGTCTGGAATTATTATCGCCTTCTTCTTCTTTTTTATTTTATTTTATTTTTTACTTAATACTCGCGGGAACCAATGGCCTTGGTCCGCCATACTTGTACATGTTCCATTCTCGTGACACCATTTCCAGTTTATGTTGTATTATGTCTTGATACATGAATGTGTGGATGTCCTGTTTCAATCATTGCTTGGTATTCCCAGGTTTCAATTTACACATTGATTATGTCCCATTGACTGGATTTGTTCTGCTTTACTTGTCCAGTCCAAAGCTGATATCTCAACTAGATACAAAACAAGAACAACATATCATCTTTGGAATCCGCCCTAGAGGTTAAAGGTACAGATGCCGCCTAAACGTGCTACGCGCCGGGCTGGCGCGACTCCTCAACGGCCACATCCGGCGCCCGAATTTGAGTCCATCCTCGACCTTGTGCAAGGACCTGTTTTGCCCAGTGTTCCAGTCCAAGCATCGTTCAACTATGGCGCTACTACTACCACAGCATTACCCAAGCGCATGTCGATGCGGCCCAATGTTGGGATTGACCAGGCGGTTGGAGCAGTCGATGCCCATCTTGAGGTTGCTCGGAAGCGAACAGCCGCTACAAAGAAGAAGCAAGGCCCCCAAGCACGCCAGTCAAAGCGTGAGCCAACACCCGACGAGGCTCAGCTTCAGCAGTCGCTACACAATGCAGCAGACGAACATTCCGATCAAACTCCTTCGCCTCCTGTTCCACATTCGGTATCAACGGACTCTAGTCCGGGCGCTCAACCCCCATTAAAACGCCAGTTGTCGAACTCTCCTCTTTATCCATCGCCGCTTCAGCGGGCAGGATCTCCTCGCATTCACAGTCCTCTGGGTAGCAGCTCGCCATTCCGCCACAGCTCTGTCGACAATGCTTCTGTTGCGTCTTGGAATCTGGAACGTGATATTAACGATGATGACCTGCAAAGAACGCGACCAAGCAAACATGGACGCAATATCACAGCGCCCCCTCGACGAATTTCTGGCCTGGCTAATGTTCTCGAGGAGGAGGAGGAAGAAGAAGAGGAAAAAGAAGAAGAAGAAGATAAGTTTGAATCGGCGATATATCACGATTTAGAGCCCGATGTCCCTAAGGAAGGCTTTTTGCGTCGATGGCTAGGATCAGTGCGACCCCAACATCAGGAGCCCCAGAGTAACAATGAACCCCTCACCGGGGTACGCCCAAAAAGCTGGATGCAGATGTTCTCGGCAGTAATGGAGGGCCCCTATCAAAACTGGATCCGGGGTGCCTTCTATTTGCTTTTGTTCCTGAGCTTTATCTTCATGCCCCTGATTGCCGCAAAGCTTCGCGTTTATCTAGATCATGGTGTTCTGGATTGGGACTTGTCTTCGAACGTAAACATGTCTAAACCGGAAGTTTTCCATAGCCTTCGGAACCAGGTATCAAAAATGGACATTCAGATGTCATCCCTGTCGAAAGAGATCAGCTCTGTTCGATCGGAAAAGTCCATTCATGATTCGACGCCCACGGATGCAAGCCTCCATCAGAAACCGGTCTATAAGGTGAATTTCCTTTCGGTGGCATTGGGGGCAATCATTGACCCAGCGAAAACATCACCAACTTTGGGTCCCAAGCAGAGCGCTTCCCTCCGAGCACTCCTCTGGGCGACTTCATTTGCAACACGACGCACCCTCCGAGCACCGCAATCCCCCATGTCTGCCCTTAGCACGTGGGAAGAGGTAGGCGACTGCTGGTGCAGTGCCCCTCGCAATGGAATAACCCAACTATCTGTCCTTCTCGGCCGCGACATCGTGGCAGAAGAGTTGGTCGTTGAGCACATTCCCGCGGGCGCTTCTCTCGAACCAGAAGCGGCACCTCGAACAATTGAGCTGTGGGCTCGCTTCAAAGTGAACCCGCACAAAACACCAGTCAAAGCCAAACCAACGCCCGAGGCTCGACCTGGTCGTGGCTTCCTGAAACTCTTCGGAGATGCCACAGTGTCACAAGCGCCGCCGTCAACCCAGGCCCCTTCGTCCCGCGAAACAGGACTTGGGGGATTCCTAATCCCTGGAATCGGTTCACTTCACGGGTTGGTGATGGATCTATTGCGTCGGAGCAACCCCTTCGAACCTCCAAGCGCTTACTCAGACGACCCAATCCTCGGCCCCAACTTCTACCGCATCGGGAAGGTCGAATACGACCTCCACAGCCCGGACTATGCACAGACATTCAAGCTCAACACCATCGTCGACGTGTCAACAATCCGCGTGGACAAGGTTGTCTTCCGAGTGACCTCAAATTGGGGTGCCAACCACACCTGCATCTACCGATTCAAGTTACACGGACACCTCTAGACCCGGCTACAGGTATTCGGTCGTTGGGCTTTGATCCGTCTCCTACACCTCTTTCATGTATTTACCCAAGGAATCAGGTTCTGGCTGGTTCTAGAATTTGGACAAAATGTGCTTTGCGATGATACCTTGCATGGCTGCGGCGGCGTTACATGGTTTTCTTTTGGGTCAGTTTCTTTCTTTCTCTTTTTTTTCGCCTCGAGATATTTATCTTTTAGAGCCATATCATATAATAGCCATGGTTTCATTCGGGTCTGTTTCTATCCTAGCGCTTTGATCTGCCAACAGCACGTTCCCGTGCTTCTCTTGTCCTCCCTAGTAGTTTCATATTTTCTTGTCACACTCAACTTTGCAACGAGAGCCTAATACGTTGTCGGTTGCTTCGTGTTGCCCTTGCGTGCATGGTCATGTATATATGGCTTTGGATATACATATGAAGGTTAATATGAGCTGAGAAAACAACGGGTGGCTCTTGTCAACTCGTTGAGAGTCGCTCCTTCCTACTTTCCCCATTCACAGCCGCCGATTCCTTCAGTATCACGGTCACTATATCTCTTGTACTATGCCTCTGGGCGCGTGGCGCATGGTACACAACGACCCCTGAATCTCTCTGCCCTCTAATCCTTCTATAGGGCAAAGCGCGTTATCTGCCAGGCTGCGACGGGAGTATATAGATGGGAACTTTGAGTCATGTTTTACTTCTATTTACTTGAATGTCCTTAATCTAAGCGCATACCCCCCCGTCAACCCGTTTGTTACCAAGTCATCTCGAAAGCTGGTATCCAACCAACACTGGGAACAGAAGTAACTGAAACAGTTGGGTATAGAATGTTCGCCAAGTGGATGCTAACTTCCTACGCAGATGTGATAGACGATGTTGTGCCCTGAATCCTGCTATCTGTTAACGGCATAAGCTCTCTGAACGATGTCCCCCAAAGTGTTTGAATATGGAGCTAGATCCCCAGGAAATTGTTGACCATCAATCCAGATTCCGAATTCTTCATAACATAGTTCAACTACTATCATCATGGCTCCAGTGCGCTCACAGCCCTTGAAGTTGGAACCCCAGCCGCACACAGAATCGTCAAACGCTTCGACTGCTCTGGTAAATCCCCGTGAACAGCTGACGATGAAGAAGGCGCAGGCAATCGAACTTGTCAAACAACGGCTTGAATCCGTGAGTATCATATGGATTTATATGATATTTGCCCGAGATTGGACCTGCTGTATCATCTGGTGATACTTTGTCTAAATATACCAATGTAAACGAGTCTAATGTATAGTATCAAATGGTTAATGGCATACCTCGCACCATAAGTACGAGGAGATGGAAAGGCGAGGGAAAGGTGAGGAGCGGCAACATCCATATATCATTGAACAAGGATCATTCCAATGTTTCCGTATAACCCGCATACTTGCAGCCCAATCGAAATATTCAAATATTATAATCTGATATGAAAAAAAAAAAAAAGAAAATAACACATGTAAGATATTCCAATTAAATTTTCCTGTTAGTATCCCTTTTTCCAATAAATTTCAATCTGGTTGCGTAGGATCCCTCTCCCCCACATATCGAAAGGCGGAAGACCCTCGACTCGGGACCTTCATCTCTGGTCACGCGCCTTTCGTGCAGCCCATCCTCGTACCTACGCCCCCAATGGCCTCCGAGCGAGCGATCGACCGGGAAGAGAGACAAGGCCTTGTAAGTCTCCCTTTTTGCTTTTTCAAAAGAGGGTGGGGAACCCCTCTTTATACCTGACGTTGGACACTGTGGGGGATCGGACATTGTGAACGTGTTTCGGGGCATGGGTTCACCAGTCACCAAATCACCTGGGGCCATATCCAGATCTTGACTAACGCAAACAGCGCGCCATTCGCGATTTCCTCAAGGCCCGAAACTCCTACGATGTCCTACCGCTCAGCTTCCGACTCATCATCTTCGATACGTCGCTTTCCGTCAAGGAGAGTCTGAACATCCTGATTCAAAACGGTACGTTTCCCGCGATCCCTTCACATCCTTTTCTACAAAATTGCTGGACTCCAGCTGACTGCGAACCGGGAAATCGGGAGGTACAGGCATCGTTTCAGCTCCGTTGTGGGACTCCAAAGCTTCCAAATTCGCAGGTCTTCTGACCACCTCCGACTACATCAATGTCATCCAATACTATTTCCAGAACCCCGCCGCACTGGACCAAATCGATCAATTCCGCCTGGATAGTTTGCGAGGTGCGTTGGGCCCTCCCCCGTGTCGCCGCATTTCCTGCAGGTACACCTGGCTAACGGGAATATACAGAAGTTGAAAAGGCGCTAGGCGTGGCGCCGCCGGAGACCGTCTCCATCGATCCAGAGCGCCCTCTTTACGATGCCTGTCGGCGCATGCTGGAATCGCGCGCCCGCCGTATTCCCCTCGTCACCAGCGATAGCCAGACCGAGCGGCCCCACGTTCTCAGCGTCATCACACAATATCGTATCTTGAAATTTGTCGCTGTCAATGTCCCCGATACGCAGCAGCTGCGGCGTCCGCTGGGGGAACTCTTGCTTGGATCGTATGATAACGTTGCCACGGCTTCGATGGATACCCCGGTTATTGATGTCATTCATATTTTGGTCGAGCGCAGCATATCCAGTGTCCCGATTGTGAACTCGGAAGGCGTGGTGTATAATGTATTCGAGTCGGTCGATGTCATTACCCTGATTAAGGGTGGTTTCTACGATGATTTGAGCCTCACGGTTGGGGAAGCATTGAAGAAACGTTCTCCGGTATGTGACCCTCCGTTCCTGATGATATCAGTTTGATACTTACAGCTGTACCTTCTGCGCAGGGTTTCCCGGGTATCTACACATGTTCTTTGAATGATGGACTGGACACTATCTTTGACACTATCCGCAAATCCCGGGTGCACCGTCTCGTTGTCGTGGATGAGCACTTCAAGCTCAAGGGCGTTCTGACTCTGAGTGATATCCTGCACTATATTCTTCTCGAGGGAGAGAATGAGGAAGCCTGATCGGCTTCGAGTTTGCAAGTGACTTCTCCCATACATATTCCGTTTTGCATAGTTCCGGCGTTTTGATCTGCCCTGTTCTGGTTCTTCGAGGGATCCCTCGAAGATGAAGATAACATATGAATTGCTTGGGAGCACATGGGCCCGGCGAGGTCATGCTTGTTCTGGGCTATTATTTTGATTTTGGGCTTTACGAATGTACAGAGGTAATGATATGGATTCCAAAACTTTTGTTTTTTTATTGCTCAGAAATAGACTTGGAAGATCTTGAATGTTTGAAGCATTATCTTATATTGTTGGCTGAACCTTGACCCTGATGTTAAGACGTACCTTCCTGTATCTCAGCTCCTTCCTCAAGGACAAGACCTTGGCCAAGTCACCCGTGGATATCCCCGGGCCCCCATCGTAGTCCTTACTTCATCTTCATCTCTTCCTCTCGTATACATTATCCAAACGTAATCATGCGGCGTCTTAGAAAAGCGTTCCGGTCCAGATCTGAGACACCCGACCCTGCTGCATCTCGTGCTGCCTGGCCACGATGGCGTCAGCCGTCTGAAGGAGATCCATTGAAGCCTCAGCCAGAAGCCGCTTCGAATGAACTAGGCGATGAGCCAACAACCGAAGCCGGACCCAGCGCAAACAAGCCATCTGGCTCGGCCGCAGTAGCCCCCGTTGACAATACTGACAATACCGGAAATGGTTCGAATGCCCAATACGCCCAAGACACTAGCGAACTTCCTCGGTCCAAGAATGGTACCAGGCGTCTGAAGAAAATGGTTGCTCGCTTGCGTGGCAGCTTATCCCACGAAGAGGATCCTATCACAGACACACAGCCTCAAACTGCGCAGGAGAGTTCCCACAGAGAGAGACCGAGTTCCATACCTTTGTCCTCCAATCCCATTGAGCTGGATACCGCTGCCGGGGAGTCGTCTACAGCCGCTGGCAAGTCCGTCAGGTTCGATGACCCAAAATCAGGGCGGAAGGTCAGCGCTCAGACAACTCATTCTCAGGAGTCCAGCCAGACTGAGGATACCGTTTGCCGAGACCCTGCCCGACACATCGCGATGCCTATTCAGGAACCCTTGGAGGAGTGGGGATGGCCGGGACTCATGCTGTATTACCCTGATCGTAGCAGCAACCCCAAGACTCATACCCAGGAGGCTTCGGACCCATTCTCAGATGGGAAAGCCGTCGACGTCGGACAAGAAAAGCCGGGACCTTCGAGGCATAGTGCAGGCACGAGCCGAGAGGAATCATCCAGGGCTTCTGAAGGGACACTGGAGCCTATCGCTGAGACTGATTTTGACACAATCGAACCTGTCATCGAACTAGCCGAGCCCGCAGAACAGGATGCTCAGAGGGCAAGTTCGGCCAACAGCCAAACAAGTCAAGTTAGTTGGACTAGCACACTTGACTCGCCCAAGGCGATTTCGGCCTTTAATCGCATGGCATCTCAGTTTGGTATTCCGATTTCCATTCCAGGTGATGAGACTCCAAGTCCACGTAGGTTTATCTTTTCTTGTGCATGGATTGCCACTGAATAGATTCTAGAAGCAGAGGGTAATCCCACCGAGGAAGAGGGCACGAGTCGTCGTGGATTCGGATTGTTGGGTAAAGTTCGCAAGGTGCGATCCAGTTTGGATGCCGACACAACCCCTTTGGCACCGCCTCCTAAGCTGCGACGAATGAAAACATTCACGAATCTGCGCCGTCCGACTCCAATGACTTCGTTGCAAGGAAGATCGATTGAGACATTAGCCCGTCTTGGAGGATATGGCTATCTTATGCTGACGGACTTGGCCCCTTGTCCCGTGCAGCTGCCTGCATACATTGTGGCAACTCTGATGTTTCTGCACAAATATGGTTGGTGGCTGTTTCTTCTACGTCATGACTTGACTGACCCCGGGTTCCTGCAGGTGTTGACACTCCTGAGATCTTCATCCAGTCCGGCGATCTGAAAGCCGCCACTCGGTTGTATGATCACTTTGCTAGCCAGGTGCTCGAGGCGGAGAAAGATGAGTCGAAGATTTCCCTTACCTTGCGTGTGGTAGCCATGCCGCAGCTTCATGAAAACTCGGCGCCCGTGTTGGGTGTGGCCTGGGCCTTCAAGGCCGTGTTAGCGGGGCTTCCAAACGGGATCCTCGGGAGTGTCCGGCTCTACCAGGTTTTGAGGGCGATGTACTATCACTCCATCCCCAATCAATCTCATCACCTTCGTGTGCCAGATTGTATGTCTGAGGCGAGCCCAACGACTGCCGCCCGAGTGCAACTGATATGCCTTGCGCTCATTGCCCTTGCTCCTGAGATGCAGCGCGACCTTATCTGTGCGGTATTTGGGCTACTTTCCTTGTTGGTGAATGCGGAGACCACCGTCCAAGAGCAACCCGGGATGGAGCTCCGTGATCCAGTGGCGAGTCCGAACTTCCACGAGTTGGTGCGGGTGTTTGGACCGCTACTCCTCGGGCCCAAGGGGCAAGAGAAGCCAGAAGGGGCCTCGACAGCAGTTCAAAAGGAGATTGATGATCAACGGGTGGCGGGTCTGTTGCTCAATAATTGGCATTTCGTGCACCGACAGTTGCGACACTGGACAAGTGGACGGTACGTGGTGGGCAGAGAATAATTGGACAAAGCCCTGTTTCATATTGAGAAACCAGGTTGGGTTCTCTGATTGGATTCTAGAAAAACCTCTATACTTCTCTCCACCAGCCCAACCCTGTTTTTGTTTTCCCATTCGGCTTTGAATCCTGTTGGATACCATTCATTATTTTTTTGTTTTTATGTCTTTTTATGCCTTACCGTTGTCCTTTATGATTTTTATACTCACGAGAGTCTAGACCTGGACAGGTCTAGGCCTCTACAGCGTTTGAAGGGGGGTTAAAAAGATAAAAAAATACATTCCTTTTCACTTTCATTTCTTTTCCATTTGAACATTCCCATGGTGACACCAAAAACATCTCCCATCCCCCAACATCCTAATTCTGTGCCCATTCGCCCGGATCTTCTGGACCGCAGGAAGTCTTGTCCGACCGTGGCTCCAACCAGGTCGACCGCACCTGGACTCTGCCCTTCTTCAGGCACCGACCAAACCCTCCTGAATGAATCAGTGAATCAGTGAATCAGTGAGTCAGAAAGACCGAAAGGCAGGCAGTGAGCCCTTTTTTTTATTTCTGTTTAGGGTTATTAGGGCAAGAGAGCCTGTCTTAGCTTCCTTAGTGTGCTCTCTTGCTTTCTCTCTCCATGTTTTAGAAGGAACATAACTTTCTTCTCGAAAGCTTCTCTCTCTTGACATGTCTACCAACCTCAAATCTGCAATGCCATCAGGTTTACCGTCAGGGTTACCTCCAGGCCTTGCAAATATCAACATCGATCCATCACCATTCACATCTTCCTTTTCAGGTGATTTCCTAGGTCTTCCCATTCCAGACGACGACCAACTCTGGGGTCTGAGCCCCATCTCACCAATGGATACTGCCTGGGATAAACCCGACTCGGCAGCATTTGCCAATTCCGCACTCGAGCGGGACCTTAAAAACGCCCAAGTCCGAAATGGCCAACCAACCCCGCCCCCATACGACGATCAAGGCCGCGATCTCTCCCTAAACATGATGGAAAGCGCAAGCAAACGGCGGCGTGTGCGAGAATACGAAGCCGCCGCTGCAAGTCTCAGTCCAGATCTCGACGACGCCCCACACGAACGCGCCAAGCGTGCCAAATTCCTAGAGCGAAATCGTCTTGCAGCAAGCAAGTGTCGCCAGAAGAAGAAAGAGCATACCCAGAAGCTGGAATTCGACTTCAAGGAACAGTCCCAGAAGAAAGAGCAGCTTATCGCGGAGATTGCACGGCTGCGATCGGAGATCCTCGGTCTCAAGAATGAGGTCCTAAAACATGCTCAGTGTGGAGATGAACCCATTAGACTTCATCTTGCGCAGATGGTAAAGAAGATCACCGATAACGATGCCCCGCCTGCGTTGCCGGATTCGCCCGTCAGAATCTCAGATAACAATCCTTCTGTTTCCCCGCTCGAACCTCCGGCTCCCGTTACCGCTGCGGTGTCTGTGTCTGCTCCGGCCTCGGCGGCCATGTCGTTTGGCTTTGATGATCCCCTCCAGCTTGAGCCGGCTGCTGCGGCGGCGGCGGAGGCGTTTGAGCAGCAGATGCGTCGTGAGTCGGAGGCTTCGCTTGTCTCTGAGGGGTCTTATTCTTTCTCGGCAGAGGATACATTTGATGATTTGATCAATGTGTGAGTGTGAACAGGAATGCTTATGTGATAACGAACTTTTTATGTGGAGGTAATGGGGGGTGGCAGCAGGTCTGTCTGGCGTTGTGGATTTTTGCAAACCTTTGAATTGCGATCCAGTGGAACTGGAGGGTGTCTGGCGTTTTGATTCCGACCTGAGTAAACGGAAGCTTTTGATATTCAGTATTATTTTTGTCAATTCTAGCTGCCTTGAGGGCGATTGGCTAGGGGGTGGATTGTTGCTGTGGACCATAGCCAGGTTACCTGGGATGTATCTTCCACAATATGGCAGATGGGAATGAAGTTGTTTCTATCAATATATACATGGTAGATAAAAGAGAACTGATGATATAACAAGTCAAGGCCGTCCAGCGGTTGACTCGACATGCGCAGTCCGATGCTTGGACTGCAGTGGTTTGGCATCAATCTGAGCATCTTGATGTCTTTCAGCAGGTACATGCGATGCAGCATCATCATTTAGATCCTTCCACCCATGCTCAGCATCCGGATCAACTCGACCAAACAACCCATTAATCTCCTCGAGAGACTTGCCAGCCGTCTCCTTCAGGCAGAAGTAGGTAAAGCCCACAATCACCACATCCAGCAATCCAAAGAGCAAGAATGTACCCCATCCCAGACTCTGCTGAATGTACGGTGTCGAGAAACTCCAAACAAAATTGAACAACCATTGTGACCCAACACCGAACGCAACACCAGGCTCACGGATGCGCGTCGGGAAGATCTCACTCGCACACGGCCACGGCAATGGACCCCAACTGAAGTTGTAAGCGATGATATCGAGGTATATCAAGGCAACCGTGGCAATTCCCGAAGAAGTAACCGTCCCATCTCCAGGCTGGGGGTAAGACTTGACAACCGCTGCAGTGGCAATCATACAAACCGCCATAAACGCCGCACCACCACCCAACAGCGGTCGTCTCCCAAACCGATCGGACAAAAACACCACAAAAATCAAACAAGCAACGACCTTGATCGCGCCAAAAATCCCTGTCAATAAAAGTGTCCGGTTCCCAGCCCCAACAAGCAGCTCGAAAAACTGCGGCCCGAAATACGCCAATGCCGTCGATCCCGTCGACTGCTGCGCAAGAAACAACCCACCAGCAATCCCCATCCTCTTCAAATTCCCCCCTTCGACTAACTCCCAAACCCTAAACCCATCAGTAACCTCCCTCTCTACCTCCACTCCCCGTTTCATATCCTCAAACTCCCCTCGAACCCCCCCCCCCTCCCCACCCCTCACCCAAACAAGACTCTCCCACGCCTCCGCCCCCCTCCCCACTGCAAGCAACCACCTCACACTCTCTTTCACTCCCAACATCCCAACCCCCATCAAAACCCCCGGCACAAGCTGCAAAGCAACAGGAACCTGCCACTGTCGCGCCCCAACCCCCTCCCCCATCATCTTAACCCCATAATCAACCCAATACGAAACAAGGATCCCTACCGTGTATGTGAGCTGATAACAACTCCCCAATCTCCCCCGGATCTCCTTCGGACTCATCTCGGACATGTAGATTGGGATCACGGTTGCGGACCCGCCGACGCCTAGTCCGCAGATTACGCGGCCAAGATAGAACACGGGGAGGGAGTGGGAGTCGATGGTTTCGAGGATTACGCCCAGAGTGAAAATCGCAGAGCAGAGAGCCATCGCGACGCGACGGCCGTAGTGGTTTGTTATTGGCCAGATTAGGAAACAGCCGGTGAAGGCGCCGGCTTGTTGGATTCCTACGGCGATGGCGCTTGTGTGGGTTTTGCTGGAGGGGTGGATTGAGAAGGAGGTTTGAAAGGTTCTGAAGGTTAGGACACCGCCTGGGTGGTATTAGTATAGATTGGAATAAATCGGAATATATTGGAATGCTGGGATGGGTAGGTAGAGAGGTTGGTGGAGTGTTACTCACCAATTACCCCCGAGTCATAGCCGAATAAGGCTCCGCCGGAGCAGAGTACGAGAGCGAACCAGTATATGCGCCAGTGGGGTTTTGGTGGTCGAGCTGTTTCTGTTTCCATTGTAGCTGGGGGTGGGGGGTTCGATTGTGGTGTTTGGGGGAGCTGCGCGTAGGAGATTGTGGGTGTTGAGCTCCACCAGGTATGGAGAGTATTATACCATTTCGAAAATGGGGAGGAAGGTATATTTACATTTGACATGGTCTAGATAGAAATTGAGTCAAAGGTGTCATAGGAAGTCCGAAAGAGGGAATGTAGGGTTGTATGAGGTAGATCGATGGATCGATGGATTATGTCACTACTGTGATTGCGTGACATCCTTCCCAGTACCTGATGTCTTCTATACTTTTTAACTATTCTTAACTATTCTTATATCCTCTTATACTCCTGATATTGCGTGATTCCAATGTTATTGGCCCAATTCTCCTTTTTCATAGTCCACATAAAAAATGTGGAGTCTTAATCCCCGCATTTCTTGCCGATGGCCGATGGCCGATTGGCGATCATTTACATATGATGTTTATTAGGTCGGGTCTGCTAGATCTGATATAACTGTTGACATACCACTTATACCCCCTATTTTCAAATGTCTCTTGACAATGACATCTAAACGCCCCAACTTCCTCGTCATAGTCGCCGATGACCTCGGTTTCTCCGATGTAGGCTGCTTCGGCGGAGAGATCCGCACGCCCAACATCGACCAGATCGCCAAGGAAGGCCTCCGATTTACCGATTTCCACGCGGCAGCAGCATGCTCGTAAGTCTCCCCTACTCGGACCATTGGCTTCCAATCAAGCTCACAAAGCCCAGTCCCACCCGTGCCATGATCATGACCGGCACAGACCACCACATCGCCGGTCTAGGCAACTTAATCGAATGGACTAACATCTCCGGCCAAAATGGGCCTAAAGGGTCAGACATGAGCACTGCGCCGCAGCGCGGCATGCCCGGGTACGAAGGATACCTTAACGAGCGGGTCGTCGCACTCCCCGAGGTCCTACGCGACGGGGGATATCACACAGTGATGTCGGGCAAGTGGCACTTAGGTCTAACACCAGAGAGATCACCACACAAGCGAGGCTTTGAGCGCTCATTCGCGCACCTGCCTGCCTGTTCAAACCACTATGCCTTTGAGCCGGAGCTGAAAGACAAGGACAAGATCCCGACTTTCATCGAGGCGAGCTATATTGCCCTGCACATGGAAGATGGGGAGTACGTGCACCGTCTACCAGAAGACTGGTACTCTTCCGACGGGTACGGGGATAAGATGGTGGATTACCTGAAAGAATGGAAAGCCTGTGGTGGCAGCGAAGGTCTCGATGGACAGGGAGACCGTCCGTTCTTCGCATACCTCCCCTTCACAGCGCCGCACTGGCCGCTACAAGCACCGCGCGAGTATATCGACCACTACCGCGGAGTGTATGACGACGGTCCGGACGTGCTCCGCGAGAAGCGACTACAGCGTCTGAAGGAGCTGGGAATGGTGCGGGATGATGTCGAGCCGCATCCCGTGCAAGCGGAGGAAGTTAAAGAGTGGGAGGCGTACAGCGCGGAGGAGAAGAAAAAGTCCGCAGTTGCGATGGAGGTGTTCGCGGGGATGGTCGAGTGCATTGATTCGAACATCGGGAAAGTAGTCGAGTACCTGCGCTCTATTGACGAGCTGGATAACACATTCGTGTGTTTCATGTCAGACAACGGAGCAGAAGGCGCCGCATACGAAGCCTACCCAATGGTGCAGAACGGCGTCATGCCCCATCTGCAGAAATACTACGACAACAGCTTAGAGAACCTCGGGAACGGGAACTCGTTTATCTGGTACGGTCCGCGCTGGGCGCAGGCTGCCACTGCGCCATCGCGTCTGTATAAGGCGTATACCACCGAGGGCGGCGTGCGCGTCCCATTCACCTGTCGCTTCCCTGCGAATTTCAATATCAACCCTGCAGATGTTGCGGTCGGTAAAGGCGGGATTACGGATCAGTTCGCCACGGTTATGGATCTCGCCCCGTCAATCTTGGATATGGCGGGGATCAAGCACCCGGCGCCGACGTACCAAGGTCGTGAGATCGTGGAGATGCGAGGACGGAGCTTCCACCCCTGGGCGGTGGGTCGGGCAGAGCGGATCCACCCGGTTGAGTTTATTCAAGGATGGGAGACGTGTGGACGGGCTGCCTTGCGTTGCGCGGATTGGAAGATCATTTTTATTCCTAAGCCTAAGGGCCCGGAGAAGTGGCAGTTGTATAATCTTGTGCAGGATCCCGGAGAGATTCATGATCTGGCAGATGCCAAGCCGGAGAAGTTGAAGCAGTTGCTTAAGCTCTGGGATCAGTATGTGCTTGAGACGGGTATTGTTCCGCTTTGTCCTGATCTTGGGGAGTTTTTGGAAGCGACTGAGGCGCAAATGCCTGAGAATGCGTGGATGGAGTTTGATTATTGGAAAGATGGAGCGAGGGATGAGCCGGAGAAGTTCACGCGTCAGCCGCCCAGGTTTCAGCGGACTGTAAAGCCTTTCTGAGGGAGTGGTAGAAGAATCCCTGAATCATTCAACCAGACCAAACAGAATAGAAATGACTTAGAAGTCTGACGGTCTTGTTTCAGAACATGTAACTTGCCGATAACTCCTGAGTAACCGCGGGGTAAAGGGATTCACCATGATCTAGATATATCCATCATAGACACAATAATATCCCCTGAACCTAGCACTCCCTATCCCAGGAGCACCATGAATCCCAAAATATCACCAATCATGAAAGGCAAACTAATGTACTTCGACGAAGTAGCGTGGGACAAAAGCGACGACGAACTATCAACCTGGGAAACAAGCCTCCTCACCTCAGGCTCCAGGAGAAGAATAGCAACATTAATCAAAACCCACCGACAAAGTGTAGCAGACAAACTCTTCCCACCACAGAAAGGGTCCTTCAATATGATAATCCGTCTCCACTTCATCGACGGCGCCTCAGCCATCTCCGTCATGCGTTTTCTCCAGCGTAACACAGGTATCCGCATCCCACACATCTTTCACCATGGAAGCAGCGCCGAAAGTCCGCTTGGCCTAGGCCCATTCATTATCATGGAGTATATCAACCATAACGCTGATCTGGTAGATGCACTGAATATACCCGGAATACCGGATGAAGAACGACCTGTTATCGATCCCTATATTGACGAAGATAGGCTGCGCTCGGTGTATACTCTACTTATGCGGCCCCGTTGGAGTTTGTGTATAGTCCGCCGCGCTGGCTGTTGCTTGAACGGCCAAAGTACTGAGAAGATGGGCTTGATGACTGGGAGCAGGTGTATGAGAACCGGTTGGAGGTTTTCTTGCAGGAGCTGCGGATGCGAGAGGATGTTGATATTTGGCGTGGGTTTATTGGTGAGGAGAATCGGCTTTCTGGTCATATGCGAGAGAGCTGGGATAATGGTGGGTTCTGGGTTAGTTATGCGGCGAGGAGGAGTTGGGCCTTTGATGTTATCTACTGGGCAAAGGTTGATCGGAGGTTCTTTGGGGAGGGGAGTTTGGGGGATAGAATTGGGTTGTTGACTGTTGAAGAGAGGGATAGGATGGAGGGGTTTGTACAGAGGAAGTTGGCTGAGAAGGAGGAGGGGGGTTTAGGGAGTTGATATTGCACTTTATATATATCTTTCAGAGGTATATAAAGGTTGGAATAGGGATACAAATGCGTCTCAAAGGTGGTGTTTTCCCCTATATTTTGCATTTGTTGTATCTTTTCTATACCCTTGACCTAATTTTGAATTGAGAATATGGCTTATTACGTAGATCATGTATTTTTAGGCATGAAGATGCAAGCATAGGTGTCATATTTTGTAGTACATCAACAGTCCCCAAGAGAGGTGTAGTTTCGTGTAGATCGCCAGTCACAGGAAGTTGTGTATATTAGCAACGTCCTAAGGATCCGCTAGAACCTCTACAACATAGAGCTTCCCGTAGGATATTTATTTGCAATATCATTTCGAATATTCTCACGAATTCAATCTGATGACCATCCGAGCTCGTCATCGTACAGATCCCCGAGAACTGGCGTGATTGCGGGGAAAATTAGCCACATCGAATTTCTTTACGACTGCTCCGTACTTTGTATCTACGGAGGATGCTTTCTTTAGCTTTGACCCGGGCTTGATCCATTATGGAGGTACTTTGAATATTTCTCGCCTTCTTTCTGACCCTGACTAACCATGAATTCTTAGGTGCCAAAAGCCCGGGGAGCTGGCAGATCCGGCCCGCGTCGACGAACAGGGTGCCTAACATGCAGGGCGCGTAAGGTCCGGTGCGACGAAGGACAACCAAGCTGCTTCAATTGTGACCGACTGCGTTTACGATGTCTCTACAAACCACTCATCGCCCCCAGCGTGGGGTGGGGTTTATCATCAACCCGCCCATCAAACATTACGACTGCATCGCCCAGTAACACAGCGGACCCAGGAAGTTCAGGCCCTTCCGCTGCAGCCGCGTCTGCATCTCGCTCCCCCGACATCAACTTCTTCAGTACTGTGCTCCGTGCAGACGGCCACCAAGCAATCCCAGCCCCAACAAACACACTTCGGCAGCTCCCTACAGGCCAGGACTCCTATCCGTCCGAGTTTGATATGCTTGGTTTTATGGGCGGGATCACCTCCGAGCTAGAACAGAAACATCTGGACTTGACAACCGGACTCCCGATGACTTTCACCGCTAGTCCGGCGTCGCAGTCGCGACCCGCGACACTCACACCAGGCGTGGATGAAGGGAACTTTTCGGCAGACCGACGCACTCCACTTACTCCAGATACCCCGTCTGCACCTATTGATAGGACCTTAACAGGCAGCAGTTCGGAGGGTTCAACTACGCGGCGCAGCTTGTCCGACGCAGGCGGTGCTTCGTATGAGAACCAGCTGCTACAGCACTTTCTTACTATTGACCCGCCGGCTACTCTTTTTGTGCCGATAAACATCGAATGGAAGTATATGCGGCCAGCGCTACTGGCTCATGCGCGAGATTCTAGTCCACTTTTGAATGCTGTATACTGCTATGCAGATGTCCATAAAGCGATTATGGAAGGGAAAAGATGGCGCTGGGCGCCTTCTTTTTATAGAGTGTCCAATTCGGAGATCCAAGCTTGTATTCATGGCGAGGTGACTGACTCTACACTCATCAAAGTCCTTGGTGCTATTTTTCTTTTAATGATATCCGAGGTATGTTCTGCTTGGTCCCAAGATCGAGCGGACTTGGCTCATATTGTCCTAGATTCTCTCATCCCCCGAAATATGTACCGGAACTTCTTATATTCACTCCGGGTACCTTATCCTACAACGATTCTACGATCGTACCCGGCATTGGACCGGTATCGGTCAGCTCCTGGTGTCATGGGTCTCGCTGCTAGATGTCAAGTCCTTGATTGCAGGCCGAGATGGCGATCCTCTCACTGAGCTCGGCAACATCCCAGAACATAGCATACCAATGAAGCCACTAGATACAAATCCTTCCCAAACACGCCACATAACAGCGCCAGCAGACACCAAAAAAGAAGACAGCATAGAAGACCCATTCCTCAGCCCCAACTACCTCGTCTACGAAGCAATCGTTGGCCCAGCATTCCGATTCTTCGCACAAGCCCAACAAGTCGTCCGACGAATAGTCTGCATCGACCTCCACCATCGCAGCCGTGGAACCCTCACCGACGAATTCGAAGTCCTCCAACTCGCGCACAAAGTCGGCGCAGACCTTGAAACACTCTGGCACCGACGTCCATCAGTAATAGACGTCTACGGACGACCAGAAGCCCTAACAGATATCTTGAGCGCGCCTGTGGCATCGGAAATCTGTCGCACATTCCGACAATACGTGGCTAACTTCTTAGCAAATTTTATCTACTTGCACCGGGTTGCTTTTGCAATCTATCCTCGCACAGACCGCGTCAACGGTGCCGTCGAGCAAATCATTCAACTGGCTACCATTGACTCTACCGGGCCGGACCATCTGCCTATTAGCTTCCTATGGCCGCTGTTCATTGCTGGGCTCGAAGGTACGGAGCACCAGCGCAAGTGGATTCTCCATGAGATTCAGCGTATGGCTGCTGCCCACGAAGCTGACGCGGCACCTTCCGTCACTCGTCACCCAACTGCTGATAAGGTCCTTGTGCTTGTGGAGGAGATGACGAGGCGACAGGATGTGTCGCGCACATGGGCGGACTCGAAATGTGTAAGGCGGGAATTGTTTTCGGACTTTTTCATAGTTATTTAGACCTCCTGTTGGAGACGAGATGTATATATGACCCTAACGGTTTGGTGGTGCGGTCATATAACCAGCGAGTTTGCTTTTCTGGTTGACTGTTGGCTTGGTGACAATCTCGTTCATACATATAGACATTTTCTCATGAATCATGATACAAGAAGTAAGAACCCACTCCAAACATGCTAAACCGAACCGGATTCAACCGCTCGATATAACACTTTATCCCCACCCATACACCGTGATCGGTGCAGTAGATGACCTCGTTCCTTGCGCACATACGCCGCAAAACAAACAGCAGCGACCGCCACAGCCCCAGAACTGATCATCACCGGATACCCGAACTGAGCCGGCAGCGGGAAAGCAATAGTCGAAGCAAAAGAAAGCATCTCGAAAACATTCTGCAGTGCCATTTCCGTCGCAGAGAAGCGGGCACGAGCATGTTCCTGGATCTTCTACATAATGCCATTCGTTTAGTACACACAACGCACAATAAAATAGGTTAATGTTAGAGAAACCACTTACCTCCTGAACAAGGAACTGAACAGACAAATCAAATCCCCAAAGCCCAACTCGACTCAAAGCAACGCCCGCAATCAGCGTGCCCGCCACAAACTGCGAGCTCGAGTCCCAAGCAACAAAAGCCACAGCAGCACCAGCCACACAGACAAATTGCCAGTTGAGGAACCACAGCCCGGACCGAATGGGTCCAATCCGGTTCATGATAATAGGCGCTGTCCATGTGCCAGATATCTCGGCGGCCACGGCGCCGATGCGCATGTAGCTAACCTGTAACGAGGTAAAGCCCGTGTCCAGCAGGTACGTGGTCATTGTTGCGCCGAAGGATAGGACTGTTAGGTACAGCAGGCTCAGGGCGAAGGATGCTAGGAAAACGGGGCTGGCTATATACTCCTTCCAAGGTGCTAGTGACTCTGACACGGAGTGAGGGATCTTGCGAGATGGAGTGTGCTCGGGGTCCTCGGTGGTCTCGCTAGTTATATCATCTGCTTGTGGCGTAGAGGGTTGTGTCTTTGTCAAAGCTGGGACTGATTGGTAGACCTGGGCAATGGCCATATATTCGACTAGCACAGACGTGGTGTTCAGGCTGAATACTGTCCAAATTGCGTATCGAGTTGATATGCCGTCAATCAAGGAGATGAATACTGGTGCTAGGAGTTTGCAGAAGAGATCGATTCGTCTCATTGAGGCGTTCAGGTCTGGCATTTGATCAAAATTAGATATTGTAGATTCAGGTTGTTTTGGGGTTCTCACCTTGTCGAGGGACATTAATACTATCCGAGATCACAATTGCCTAATGTCAAAATATTAGCGATGTGTCTTTCTAAAAATAAAAATGTATAATGGATGCATCGAAGGAATTAGAAAACCCAAATACGATTCCCGGTACATACCCAATCCCGTTCCACAGCCACCGTATTAGCCGTAGCGGCCAATTTCTCCATACAAGCCAGCAAGCCCTGCACAACGAACAAGGCAATCGTAACCGCCCAAGAGTCCGTAGACACGGTTGCTACAAAGCACAAGCAAGACACCGCGACAGGGACTCTTTGCCACACTACTCATTTGGTTAGCCATTGGCCCTGAATGATAACACCGTGAAACATAACACAGTGCAATACTAAAATCAACATCGACCTACCAATAGAATACCTTACAGCCACCAGCCGATCCGAACGATCAACTTGCGCACCCAACCAGGAAGATAGCACGACGGTTGAAAACGCCCGCACTAGAGCGTATATCGAAGCATACAGTAGTGTCCCCGGGAAGATCGAGGCTAAGAAGAGCACGGCGCCAAATTCGAACATGCGTGAGTTCCATGCTGAGAGAGTGTGTGAGATGTATAGGCGTGTTAATACTGAGCGGGCTTCTGGTGCTGGGAGATCATCTCGGGGCTGTGAAGCATCATCCGCCGATGTCGGTAACAAATTGCTGGAGGCAGTGGTGGTCCTGATGCTTTCTAATGAGCGCCGGCTAGGCACGAGGGGCCTGCTTTCGAAATCCATCTAAAAGTGCTGCTGGTAATTACAGCAGATGTGCAAGGGTCAAGTCAGGTGTTTATGTGGATTTGAGATTAAGTTGGGTGACGGATCAGTAATGCCGTGGGTGGGCTGAGGACCTTGGGAACTTTCACTCGGGGTTGAAATGTGTGCTATTTGTACGTTTTATATAACAAAATATCTCTATATTCGAGTCGTCAGTTGAATACTATATCTTTTCTAGAGAAGACGATCAATAATTGCAGATCCAGGAAAAGCAATAAGTGGTATGTGGTATATGGGTCCAACTCCCAATAAATTCTAATACACAACAATAAAAATTACAAGCTATAGACGGTATCCCTCTCTTTAATTCACCCACTTGAGTCCTTCGGGGGATGATGTCGTCGTCCGTCGGGCAATCACCTCGACGACCTTTCGGCGCACACCCTCGCGGTGGGCGTATTTTTCGAGGAAGTAGTCGACCACAGGTCTCCGCGATGCGTGGCCTTGGCGCACAACCTGCTCAATCTCTCTCTCAGAGGGAAGAGCGAAGTGGGCATGAGGGTAGTATTTGTAATCTCCCTTGCTTAGAAGCGCAAGGCGGGATTCCTTGTTGGGGATTTCGAAGAAGCTCTTCACAGTTTTATCCGAGACCTCCTCGAGAGTAGCAGGCTGCCACTCGGCCTGACGGGCAGGCTTGGACATCAAACGGGCCTTGACACCCTCGACGAAATCGGGGTGGCGCATGAAGTTGGCAGCGATCTCGTGCTCGCGCTGGAAGGTCTCTGAGATGCTCCACTTCTTACCGAGACGCATCTGGCGCAGGGTCACCTTCAGAGAAGTCGGGGAGCGTCCTGACAGAGTCTCCAATGTCTTTTGTGCCCACTCCTTATGCTCGGTTTCCTTCTCCAAAGCCTGGATAATCTCCTCCATAGTGTTAAATCCGAAGCAGCGGTCAATGGCTGTGCGCAGGCTACCAGCCATGAGCATAGGCTCCTCCTCGAGCGGGGGGGAGGCCAAGAGAGAACTCGGCCATGGTCTTGTTCACAATTTCCAAACGCTCGGGAAGTTCGACGTGGTCAGGGAAAGTCAGCTCAGAAAGACGCTGCGCCACACTGCTCAGAACACTGGAGTGCAAGTAGTGTGTGGCAATGCCTGCATACAGAGCCTGGACACCCTTCAGGCGCTCTGAGGTCAAAGCCAGGTATGTGCCGGTCTCGCCATCGAGACGCGGGAGGAAGAACGAGCCGCCAACATCGGGGAAGAAGCCAATGGTGGTTTCGGGCATAGCGAAAACGGTACGCTCGGTCGCAATTCGGAAGGGGGCGTGCATGCTAAGGCCGACACCACCACCCATGGTGATTCCATCCATAAATGAGATAACAGGCTTCGAGTATGTAGCGATCAAGTGGTCGAGACGGTATTCGAGTCCGAAGAAATCTGTCGATGCTTTTTGTCCTTCCACTCCACTCTCATTCTGCTGCGCCAGGACAGCAACGTCGCCTCCTGCGCAGAGAGCCTTGGTGCCGGCTCCGGAGATGAGGATCATGTTTGCAAGATGAGATTTCTCCCACTCCTATTCATCCAACGCTTAGTATTGTATGTTTCTGAAGTTCCGGATATTCACTCTAACCTTCAACCGAGGGAGAATCTTGCGAGCCATTGAGGCGTTCAGGGAGTTGAGCTTCTTGGGTCGGTTGAGCTCAACGCTGCGGATGCCGTAGATCGAGTTGAACAGAACATCATCACGCTCATCGCCGGGGAGCTCTTTGGGAATATCAGGAGTAGTCGACATCTAACAATAGTAAGCAAGTAAGCACTGGATATCGGAATTCTCTCCGAACAGGGTGTGTACCATAGCTGTTGCCCGAAAGGCAGGGTTGGTCACCTTGGCGCGTAGAGGCATCGCTGAAGGAACGCGCGAGATCCAGCTCGGCGAGGAGACGCGATTGAATTGTCGAAGTAACATTAGAACTGGAATATGACGAGAACCAGAGAAGGGGGTTATGTGGTGACAATCAGGTGTTTCTCCGCTTTCCTTGACCTCGGGAGTTTTTCGCTGGATTTTCTTTCCGCTCCGAGGATCAACTCTCCGCCCATAACCGACAAGCTCGGAGGTACATTTCGGCAACATCACCGCAAATGGATGCCATTCTTTCAAACAGTTCAGATAGAAACACATAGTATGAATATAATATAATACCAAATGCCAGCTAAATACTGCATCTGCATATATTGTAGCCTCTAAGCCGACTCTGAGAAGTGATAACGTTCGAAGTATAGATGATCTATTTGTACACAGCTAGATAATGCCAGAAAAAAAAACAAGAAACAGAGAATAATACAATTAAACGTTCTTCCATGTAGCCTTCATCCGGCTAAAGTCCAGCGGGTACACCTTCTCTCCGTTTGCTGAAGGCGAAAAGAGAGTGTCCACCTTGGCCAAGTCCGTCGAATGCGAAAGCAGGATCTTGTGCAGTGCATTCTTCTCAATAACCAATCTTGCTGTCTCCAAAACATTCTTCACATCCAAATCCTCGACGCTGATAGTTCGTGCGTGGTTGCCGAACTTTTCGACGGCATCAGAGAACATCTCATTCGGCTTCAGTGTGACGAATGTAGACCGGCCCTTCTGATACCAGCCATGAGCTTTGACGAGGTTTCTAATGAAGAATGGACTGGCGGCTTCATCGATACCGATGCTGTTATCGACAACAATCAATTCGCCGCGTGAAAGTCGGTGGCTAAGGGCGATGCGCCAGGCTTGATCGTAGATCTTTCGGGGCAGGTCGGTCGAGAAATCACGAGGGTGAGGTCCGAAAGCGACACCACCACCTCGTCGAACTGGCGACATCTTATCACCGGCACGCGCACGACCGGAGCCCTTCTGCGCGTACAGCTTCTTGTGACTACCGTGCACATCGTCCCTCCACTTGGTGCTGGCTGAACCTTGGCGGGTGCTATCACCCTCGTAGATGACTGCGCGGTGGAGAATATCGTGACGAGTAGGCATCTGGAGTAGCCTCCGGGAGTAGTGGACCAGACGCTGGGGTTCCAAGTCAGGCCACCGGTAGGTCATGATTTGAACAGGGGTTTGGCCTCCTGGTCGTTGTGCTTGTTCAACCTGGACAGCATCCGTAGTTGCCACTGGGGGTTGTGTTGTGGCTTCGGTTGCCATTGAGCGTGTGAGGCATCGTTGCTGTGTGATTCGATGCGCTGTCAGTAAGTGCGTCCTTGAACCGGACCGAGAAAATCATGGAGTGCACTAACCGTCACCTGCTTCTGGCCTGACATGAGTCCGCCAGAGCTGCGGGACAGCAGTCTCAGCGACCGCATAACATCGTTACCTGGCATTGTGAAAGTCACTGGGTGATCGCCGTATAAGTTGGTGGTGTCCGGAGTCGAATGGAGCAAAAGTTGATCCCGGGCGGTGGGTGCTAGCAGAACCTTGGCGCTACAAAGTATAAGATACAAACTACTAGCCCAAGGTAGGTGACAACCTCATTATTGCTGGCGTCATTGCTAGCTATTTCTTACTCGGTCTTTATTATGCTTGTCAGGTTGACGTCGACTAAGCCCTTTACGATGTAGAACTAGAAATCCAGCCTTGGAATTGATTTGGCTCAGCTTACGTCAGGACACTTCGATGTGTTTTGGATATTCTTTTTAGATGTCTCTTTATATTCATACAAAGAAAGTAGTCATGAACCGTACAAAGGACCGTACTATATATAACTATATAGGGATTTAGAATTTTCTACATGATATATCCCAGGTACGGCTACGATGGTCACGTGATAAATCTAGGTCCGAACAGAAAAAGTTCCCCGGGAAAACAACAACGTCGGATCCTCAAGGCCAAGCCCATCATAACCCCCAATTCCACGAATAATGGCCCACTGCGAGCTGGCTTCGAAGCCTCTGCTTCAATGCCTTCGCAATACCTACTCTAGAGGCGTGGCTGGAGTCCAGCTCCAAACGCGAGCCTTCCAGTCCACCGCCAACGTTCGAGAGCCCGAAGCTGAAACCCCGAGCCAACCTTTCCACAAGGCACCCGATCCCTCTCTTGTGACGAGTCCCCGTCTTGAAAGACGGTTGCTCCGACAGGGAACCGCCCCCATTGGATCTCGTCGTCGTCGTGCCGCGCTCCAAGATTCCGAGAACCTTCCTTTCGAACAACTGCCCTACCAATGTTTCCAAGAAGCCCGGAAGGTTTTGCTTGCAGACCGTGAAGAAAAGCTGAAGGAGATTGAGACGATGAGACAGCGTCTTGCCAGACAGGAGGCTCTGTCTGTCGAGGAGGCCGGAGGAGAAAAGGCGAAGAAGTCCCGCGTTACTGCGATGCAATTACACCTGGAGCGCCTCAAGGTTCTGGCCGATATTAACGACCCCCTCGTCAAGAGAAAGTTCGAAGATAATGAAGGTAATCATCCCTAGGTCAACTAATCAAATTCGGGTGAGGCTAATGGTTCGTTTTCTATCAATTCAGGCGACATGTCCAAGCCCATCTACCGCTTTTTGGCCGACCGCAAATGGCGCGAATACCGCCGCAAGATTCTGGTCCAGCGTATTACCCAGATGAACGTCATTCCCGACGTCCTGCCTCACTGCGATCCCGTCGTCGAAACAAAGTTGTACTTCGGCAAGCGACAAGTCCAAGCCGGTGAATTCGTCGAAGCGAAACTCAGCACGAGCGCACCTAAACTCGACGTGCAAATGTTCGAGGGCGGTGAAAAGCTGGTCACCATTGCAGTTGTTGACCCTGATGTCCCCAACGTCGAGAACGACAACTTCGATTATAAGACACACTTCCTGGCCGTCAACGTCCCCATCTCGGCCACCTCCACCAAGGTCGATCTTGCGCAGCTTTTGGAAGATTCTCAGGTGGTTCTCCCCTGGCTGCCACCTGTTACCCAGAAGGGAAGTCCCTACCACCGTCTTTCTCTCTTCGTCATGGAGCAGAAGGATTCCCAGCCTCTCGACTTTGCCGCCGTGAAGGCTAAGGAGAGCAGCCGCGACAATACTCTCCTTCGCACTCTCCAGTCTCGTTACCACCTCAAGGCCATCGGTGCTCACCTGTTCCGTACCCAATGGGACGACACGACCCTGGAGGTTATGAAGGAGATTGGATTCGACGGTGCCAATGTGGAGCTGCGCCGCAAGAGAGTCGAGCCTCTGCCATATAAGAGACGTAACCCCTCTTCGTTCCGCTGATCTTGTTTGTCTTGAAGCCTTTGTATTGTACAATTTGATATATGTATGAATATGCACACTGTTTTAATCCCTTCCAGCCAAACTCCATGCGTATGCTTAAACAAAATGGACCCGAATGCCAGGCATTGGCAAACCGTAATCCACCTGCCCGGTATAATGTACACTGTATAATCCTCAAATGTTCCGGGAATCCAGCTGCGCCGGTTGCAACGGATTGGTCACCCACTCCATCTTCGACAAAGGCCATACCCTGGCAATTATCTTTCCATTAATGAGACCCATGGGTACTGGACCGTAATTTCTCGAATCCCTTGACCAGGGAAGATTGTCGCCGGCCAGAAAGACATGACCTTCGGGGATCTGCACAAAACATCACAAGTCAGCAATTGAATCTAACCAGAACCAAAACACATAACCCACCTGAATCATATTTCCCTCCTTGCCAATACTCGTACTAAGCGGTTTATCTTGACAGACAAAATCCCCAGGCATCCCCACTACCCGCTTGGCCACATGCACGCCTTGAAAGTTCGGGTGGCCGTAGCGCACGACATCTCCGACCTCGATTCCTTTTCCGTTGCGGTGGACACGCGATATCAGAAGCCAGTCACCTCGTACGTCGAAGGTAGGGTACATCGACGGTCCCTCGCTGAGCTGGACAGTTATCAGGTGCTCCCAGATCAGCGCGCAAGCGCAGAACGTGCTAGTTCCATTGAGCGCGAGCCGTCCAATGGTGCGCAGATTGGTAGCCTGTATTGCTGACCGGATTAAGTGCTCCATCTGTGGTGAATTGGGAGCATGGAATCTTGCTTAGATGGAGCTGCATCAACTGTTCCGCGATCGGGAGCGGTCATGTGACCGCAAGGAGCCTTTAAAGTGCGTTTTTTTGCTCCGCTTTTTCCTCTTCTCCCATCATCATTCAATATGTCCTGTGTCTTGAACCAGCGATTGACGGGATATTGCCATTGCATTGGGTTTAGATATCCAGGAACATTCCCAGCTACATCAGCTGCCCATTAATGTTTGGGTGCTGGGCTGAGAAGGACCTGGATTTTCATTCATGCTTCGATCATTTTGAGCACCTCTACGATCATTAGAGATGCTTGAACAGTCGATATCCTTTAAAATATACTCCCATACCCCATACCCCTACCCCCAATCCCTTTCGGGATGTTCGCTTCTCCAAATGCTAGAGCTTGCCGTCGCCGAAATACATAACCAGGACGAGCACGTGTGGAATATGAAGCAAGATGAAAACAACCAGTCTATCTTGTTAGATAGACTGTCCCCCAGTGTGCCTCACTTTGACCCCATTTCATTATGGGACTGGGTTCTTGAGGCATACATAGTGGGGAGACATCAATTAGACAATTTATTATCATTTTCGATTTCTCATGCTCTCTTAATTTCTTGTGTAGCCTCCTTGAACAATATCAATTGACATTAATCCATGTGTCAAAATCAAGCTCACTTTTTAAACCACGAATCAGCATCTCACAACAATGTCAGTCCAAGTCCAGGCAAAGCCAATTAACAAGCATGATACATACCGGGATGCTTCTCAACGGCCTCAATGCCCTCCCTCTTCTTCGCCTTCTGTCGATGATCCACCCCGTGCCTCTTATTCCGATCCTCAAGCAACGAATCCAACCCTGCAGGATGAGCCACCTTCACACACTCATTCGATACAAAGCTGCCCATCAATTGGGGCTGACCTAGAGGGACAGGATCTCCACGATCAATCTGCCAGAAATGATAAGTCTTGCCATAGATAGGCGCAACATCCTGCATCTCCGCCGTCTCGGCCGCTTCCCAAATAGCATCGGGCACACCATCCGGTGCTGGCATGACCAGCATGCCGCTCTTGACCTCGAACTCGTGGGTGTGCCAGAGCCTACGCTCTTCAGTGGGAAGAGTCGCGAAAATTCGCGGGGAGACCATGTATTCCACACCAATGAGGCGGGCGTTTGCATTGGGCGAGTCGTAGATCAGGCATTGGCGGACATCTGGGTGAGATATTAATGCCAAATACTTGGGTCATTCCGGAGGGGGGGGGGGTTGTCTATAAACATGACTGTTGTTACATACCCTCTGTTAAATGAGTGCAATAGTGATTGGCTTCGACGCACCGGGTTGGATCGTTGGCGTAAACGTGAAATGCATTGAGATGTGCGCATATTTGTTTTACTGGCGTGAAGTCTTGAATCATTGCAGCTCCGCTTTCGAGAACTCGACTCTTCATTGTCCGTGGATCGCCTGGAAGTTCATTTCCATTGGCGCAACAGCTTTTTCCGGGGGTTGACATTTTGTCGTATGTGCGTTAAGTTCGAAGATTGTATTTGCGAATTGTGAATGAGTATTTGCTAATGGACTCTTCAAATGACACGAACTGGATGTCACAGTTGAACGATATGAATCCGTGAGGCAAGTTTCTTGAATTGTTTCCATTGCATTGACGTCACCATGATTGTTGATTTCCTATTTGGGACTATTTAGAAGTGACTACAGAGTATATAATTGGTGGAAATACGAAGCGATAATACACTGTACTTCAAGCTGTTAACAGTAAATTTATATATATTGAGGTTGAATTCCAATATGAAGTGTTGTAAGGAGGATATTTTATGTTATTCTTATGGCATGGAATACGTGCATATACTAGAAACCACCTCCCATCCATAGAGCAACACCTTATTGAAGCGGTTGCGTCGATTGCGCTTCTCATATATTGGACTTAATCTGCCTCAATAGCTCAAGCGATAATCTCCTTTTTTTCCAACAAGTCATAAGTTGGAGCCTTTCTCATATCAAAATTCCCTCGACCATCAAAACGGTGCTGATCTTTCTTCCGTTGGCAGTAAGCCATTGCTTCATTGCGCACTGTGCTCCATTCAAGCATGCTCGTGCCTAAAGCTTTGTGATCGGCTTTGAGCGTTTCCAAAGCCTCCTTTACCCACGCAACACAATTCCACCCTGGTCGACCCTGTCGGACAGGCGTATTGCGCATAATTTCGGCTACATGATATCCATCCAATACCTTCCCAATCATGATACGAACGAGTAACATGCTAGTAGCGGCAAGTGAACACTCCAGCTCTTCGAAGTGCCACTCAGAGCCTCCTCCCAACTTTGGACTCTCGTTCGCGTGGTAACAGAAACCCGTGCTATTCTCTCTTTCAAATTTGGGCCCTACAATCAGGGACCAATGGTACCTAGTCAAGATATAATATTAACCTTGCTGGCTGCTTGAAGCTAGACAACATCATGGATGGTGATCTCACGTGTCTTCCTTGCCTGGCATAATTGATCTGCCTCTTCGTGCATGGAGAACAACATATATCCGGTCTTTGTTAGAGGGCATTGCAAGTGATGTTGACCTGGATGGCTAAATATTCTGCTAATTGGGCCGATTATTGCTGGAAGATTGGTCGCAATGGGGCTCTCCTTTAATTCTAGTCTATACCGGGCTGTATGGAAGTCTTTATATTTTCGTGGCTCAATAGTTGCTCTAAAGCTATAGCCGCTCTTGAATATGATGTGATTGTGATTCGGGTTGCAGTGGGTCTTCCGATGGCTCCTCTTAAAATAGAAGCGAATTGGGCACTTTGCTTCGGATAGGTGCCTCATACGTTAAACCAACAAACCAGGGACCAATTGCATTTCCAGAAATTCCAACCAAACAACAAACCCCAAGCCCTGCGAGTAGGACTAGGCGCAGCATAAAAATAGAAATTTAGAACACCAGGCAATTAGCGGCTTCGCTAGCGTCGAATCGCCTATTAGCGTCGTGCCAGCGCTTCCAGTCTTCACTGGGCAGATACGTAAGGTGTACCTTAGGGGATACATACATATTCGAACTACATATGTACTTACATGGATATATAAACGTTATAGCCTATATATTGCTTTTAAGGTGGCAATCGCGGGTAAATGAATAACTCACGCATATACATACATAGCACTGTAGAGTGCTGACCGACATGTGCTGACTCTTTTACCTAGGTATCTAGGTATGGAGCGATTCACCAAATTCTAAAGTCAGAATGGAAAGCTAACATCGCTCACAGCCCACAATTATCCAAATCCCCGAATCACAGGGGTCATTCATAACAAAAGTGCGGGGAGGCCTGACCCTTCTGGGTGATCAAGCACTCCCCATCAAAACCATGCCAGCCAATTTCAAGCTCTGCACCATAACAAGGACTGCCAATCCGCTGATAAAAATCTCCTCCTTTAAAGTCTCTGATAAATTCCCGACCATCTCAAACGACCCAACCTCCTCAACAGTCCAGAGCCTATTCCTAAATCGAGAGAGTACCTGACTACTGTCCTGATCCACGAGCTTAAAATCACCCGTCAATGCACCGTCGGGTTCCCAGTGTAGGGTTCTTCCTTGAAGTGCAATGCTGTCAAACCCATACGTGCGTGTGAAAGCGGTTGGACGTCGAAGATGGACGTCATGGCCATGCAGAGAGAGTTTGACGTCCATGCTGAGCACCTTGAAGGATGCAGTACAGAAACCGACATTGCTATGAGCAGAATTTGGTGACCTGTTTAGATGGGCCAGTTGCATTTGGGGTGTTTCCCGGCACACTTTCACAGTGTACAGAGGTGTTTTGTTGTCCGAATCCAGGAGTAAGAGGGACTTGGTTTTGTAGTGGATGTGAATAATCTGGATTGAGGTTGACATGTCGACAGGTATGAGCTCTGATCAGCCAAAAGCTCTTGGTATAATCACGGCAGAAGTTGAGAATTGGTGTTGTTTTGGTTTATGTCGAATACTAAGTCCGAATACATGGTATGCCTGGTGCCCAATGTCACATGAGGTTTCCGGTATATTACCTGGTTTCTACCACGTATTCGGACTTAGTATTCGACAAATACCATTGATTGGACCCCTACATTTACGATACGGCCCACGCCGACAGCAAGTGGCTGCCTTAGGCACAGAGAGTAAGCAAACCCTGCAAACCTCTCGGGAGCACAGCACCGCTCTCTACGTACCACGTGACAGCAGCCGGCTACTATGAATATCAACCTTTTCTTCCCCTTTGCTTCTAGCTTAATAATTGGTAACATGTTGTGGTTTTGTAGTTAATTACGCCAGGAGTAATCCAGGGCGACAACCTGACTTGGTTTTGCTTTCTTCTTACTTTAATCTCACACCCCACATTATCGGTCCCCAGTGCTATAGGACGTGCACATCAACATCAACAAACCTCGGTAGCGCCGGTATCAAGCGTTACAGGGACGATCTTTAAGTAGCACTGGTATCTAGTGCTGCAAGACGACTCCACCATCATCAATAAACCCTGCAGCACCGGCGTATCCTGCCAGAGTAACTTCCTACAACTAAACCCAACCCTGTCAAACACTAAGAGCCGTGAGACTTTTAGCGCGGCCGATACCACCCACCACCAATGCCAACATGAACACCATAGTGAAATCAGTAGCGGGCAACTGCTTCGACAGATCCATCTGAGTAACCAGGGTGTCTCTATCCACCTATGTCGGCAGACACGAACACCACACCTATCGATAACATCCTACCCCGGAAACCAGTGTATTAAGTTTTCCAGCTATGACTTCAGCACACACCGGCTTGTGAACAGTGTCTTCCTGATCTTCATTCCTTTTTTTTTTCTATTCCACTACGGAGTAGATGTTTCCATCCCGGCCGGCGCGGCCCGCCAGCACGTGCGCGGGAAAAGAAGAAGAGCGGAATTGGCTCTATGATAAGCAAGATGCCGCTTATTCATTTTCAATCATCCAATCGATCTTTTTAGATAAGAGGCAATATCAAAAATTATCAAGGTGTGTTCACATTCGGTTACTAGCGGCCCCGAAACTTGGCAAGAGGCGGTATGGATGGACTCGCATGTTCCTTAGTGTAGTCCAAGATTGGGCTAGCAGCCCGTTGAGATTCGTAAGACGCTCGAGCGACCTGAAACATTTAAGTCCAGAGCGACTTGGAACTAACATCATTAAGTAAAAAAAAGAGTCGCTAAACCCTAAATTGCTAATTCTTATAGGATCTTAATAAATATGTCTTAAATGAAGTGCCCCAATAGAGAATAGATCGCTGTAAAGTTAATATAAAACAAGCGTTTTCTTCCTGAGTGGCTTGGCCTTCTTCCTAATTAGGTTACTCAAACTCTACAATTCTCCCTCAACCTTTTACAAGTCTCCACGAGCTGGAACCCACACAATCCCGCGAGAAGATCTTGCAATCAACTGTATTCATTCATGATGCCGCAATTGTGCGTTTTGCTGATAGGATATTCGGATAATTTTCGGCTCTACGTGGGTGAAATTATACCTTCCGTGGTCGGATCATTTACTGCCTTCGGAAGACACTGCTTGTATAGTTATACTATACTGTACGTCTGGGTTTGTAGTGTGGATTTTATATTAAGGAGGCGCACAACTGATCCCCATCCTGTTGTAAAGATACAGAAGGATCATATGCGACAATTCCGCATTTCCCGCGGTGCTCACTTAGCTATAAATAATATGAAATGACAGTCTGATAAGCAAACAAATATTCTAAAGAGAGAAGGTACCGCTTCTCTTCCTACCTTTTATTCCTCCTTGTCCTGTTGCTGGACAATTCTTTCTCGACTCCACCTACCATCTAGGAAGTGATGATCAAAAAAAGGCAACCCCACTAGCTCGCCACCATAATGATGGCCAAGGAAGTTACCCTCGCGGAATATCTTTTCCTCAGACTGCATCAGCTCGGAGTACGCAGTGTTCACGGTGTTCCTGGGGACTACAACTTAGTTGCCTTAGATTATGTTGAACCTTCAGGACTACACTGGGTTGGTAATGCCAACGAACTCAATGCTGGATACGCAGCCGATGGCTACGCAAGAATCAAAGGGCTATCAGCATTGATAACTGCATTTGGAGTTGGAGAATTGTCTGCCCTAAATGCGGTTGGTGGAGCTTATGCGGAGAAGGCCCCGGTGGTTCATATTGTCGGTGTCCCATCCACCGCATCCCAGGATCAGGGCCTTTGTCTACACCATTCATTTGGCGATGGAAATTTCCGCCTGAATGCAGACGTCTACGCCAAGTTCACATGTGCCCAGGCAAACCTGAGAGATAAAGAGGCTGCGCCTGCCTTGATTGACCAGACTCTGCGCCAATGCTTGCTCCAAAGCAGACCTGTATATATTGAACTGCCTACGGACCTGGTCAAGGCCCGGATCCCAGCAGTCAAGCTCGAACGACCAATTGATCTATCTGTTTCTCCGAATGATGCAGTCATCGAAAATGCTGCCATTAAAGACATCCTCAAGCGACTGTATGCTGCCAAACAGCCCTTCATTATTGTCGACGGGTTTGCCCCTCGATATGGAATAAGCTCTGAGGCAGATGAGCTCGTTCGTGTCACTGGATTTCCAACCTCAACTACGCCATTTGGAAAAGGAATCATCAACGAGACATATCCGAACTTCCATGGTATCTACGCAGGGGCTGCAGGCAAAGAGGTATATGTGCCTTGGGTGAATTCCTGTGACCTTGTTGTCCGCATTGCACCATTGAACGCAGACACCAATACCTACAGCTTCACTACATTGACGAAACGCAACTTGACCATTGAAGTTCACCAAAACGGGGTCGAGGTCTGTGGAGCGCTCTATCGTGGCCTGAACACCAAAACTCTCTTGCAGAAACTGCTTGATCGATTGGATACATCAAAGCTGCCGCGACTCAGCCCATACCCGGACCTCGGGAATCCTACAAAACAGCTCGACGACTTAGGAACGCCGGCCCGCGATGCAATCATTGACCAGGGTACATTCTGGCAGCGCATTTCAAACTTCTTCCGCCCTGGCGACATTCTCATGACCGAGACCGGCACCTCGTCTTCCGGTGGAAGAGACTTCGTTTTGCCCCCACAAACAACAGTGATCAATTCCGCTCTCTGGCTTTCGATTGGATACATGCTTGCCGCATGCAGCGGTGCGTCCCTCGCTCAACGCGAGATGGTCTCGGAAAAGAGCCGCCCGGCCGGTCGAACGATTCTATTTGAAGGCGACGGCAGTCTCCAGATGAGTGTGCAGGCTATTGGAGATATCATTCGCAACCGCTTGGATATAACTATCTTTGTGATCAACAACAATGGGTACACCATTGAACGCTATATCAACGGTATGCACGCGGGATATAACTGGGTTCAGCCCTGGCGGTATTTGGAATCCGCGAGGTACTTTGGTGCTCCCGAGAATGATCCCGAGTACCCTGTATTCAATAAGCGAGTCGAAAACTGGGGCGAATTGTTGGATGTCATGCAAGATGAGCAGCTGAAGGCTGGCAAGGGTTTCAATATGGTGGAAGTTATTATGCACGAAGAAGACGCGCCGACATCATTGAAGAACCTTGTGCGAATGGCGGCGAAGAGAAATGAAGGAGGTGCTGAGACCACACCGGTGCGTCAAGGGTTGAGGAAGTTAAAGAAGAGGAGACCCGACGTGGTTGATTCTACTACACGTAAGGTTAATAAGAAAAAGAGACAAAATTAAAATTGACCAGTTTAAACATTTTATCTAAAAACCAAGTACTATTTCTTAAGTAGTGTCATACACCTCTCTCTTTCTAAACCTTTTGAGAAGTCTAGTATACCCCATGAGACCTTAATTGTATATGCCAGTTTTGGAGGCAATTTGCCCTGCACAGTTGAGAAATTGCCTGGTTTTCTGGGGGCTGACAAGCAGTAGCACTGAATTCTAAGCTGTGCTAGTTAGGAGATGGTGGTTACAGAGCTGTTCATGAACCATTTCCTACCGAGCATCTTTCGTGCCGGCCATTACTAACGGCGTCAACTAGATTCCAATCCTGTCATCTGATCAAAGAACCCCTCATATATCTTTTCATCCCGTGGATCTTTCTGTATATTCTTTTCTTTTATCCCTCTTTCCTCTCTTGACCAACAGCAACATTATACTATTCCATCAGCTGCACCCATCATTATGGATTTATTCCACTCTAAACGTCTGGAATACCGTAGTTTCAATTCTCCTGAGGATGATGACTTCTTCCATTCCATCCAGAGTGATCCGGTTGCCTTCACAAACTCCTGTGCGTCACTCGTACGACCTGTAGACCGCCAATTTACTGAGAAAATCAAAAAGTACCTCACTGAGAACACGCTGTTGTTTGTGGTTATCTACAAAGCTACCAATGATACAGGCAGCCGGATTCTACCTGAGCGCATCGGCACACTTTTCTTGAAGTCTCCAAGTCCAGATATGGCCCACCACCGTTGCTCAGAATTCGGTATCGACATAAAGAAGGAATATCAAACCCAGGGATATGGCGGCGAGGCAATCGACTGGATGCTTGATTGGGCATTCAAGAATGCTGGTTTGCACCGAGTGGAATGCAATGTCTTTGGTTGGAACACTCGTGCGCATAGGATTTATCAGAGATTTGGCTTCCGAGAGGAGGGGCGGAGAAGGGAGTGCCTGTTCAAGGATGATAAATGGTGGGACGAAGTTCATTTGGGGATTCTCAAAAATGAGTGGCAGAAAATTAGACAGGAGCAGGTTACCATGTCAATGTTTGCCTAGTACTGCTTCCGCGGAGATTCATCTGGGAGCCAAAATCATCTAACTAGAAATACCAATGTATCATTCATATAGCACTCTTAACTGTCAGTGAAAGGCTAGTGTCATCATCAATGTGGTAATCCGCATGTCATGGCAAAGTTGCCCTCTAATGTCTGCTGTGTGATATCGTTTGGCTCCTGGGATCGTGGTCCTGCTACACCTTATCCTTCGCCTACACAAGCTTTTACTTGATATAAGTCTACATGAACTCAATAAAAATGCCCGAAGCAACGTCAAATACTCGTCGACACTGTTCTATTGTAAGCAAGATGTGATGGCCTTGTTTGCCCTCTATTGATCTCAGTCAAAGGTTCACTGGCACAAAAACAGCCCCCATCAAAAAAGACGTCTATCCATCGTAGCTCTTCAAGTACCGATAGACCTCGACAAAGCTGACGAGCCATGCTTTCTCCATCTGGTTGTGAGGATCCCATTGAAATGATTTTGGCCGCCAGTAACCTTTATTATCACCAAATTTGAACGCAGTGAAGTAGGGCCCCTCTAAAGATACCCGTTCGTTCTCACCAAACGGTTCGGACCACGGAGTATTCGCCGTTCGAAGAAGATCGCCATTTTTGTTGGCTGTAGGCCTCCACGCAGGATTGGCTCGTTGCTCTGCTGTCTCCGGAGGCGAGATATAAAATCTTGGCATTCCATCAATAATGATTCCCACCGAATTGATGATAGAAGATGGGTGCGAAATGCCATCAGTCAAACCGATTGTGTTGCTTGCCACAACCTGATCACCTGCTATCAGACCATGCTTTTGCATCATATGCAACAGTAGGTCCAAGGCCGAGTCGAACGGAATGATTCCCAGGAAGTCATAACAGAAATGTTCAGAAAAGACGAACTTCTCGGCCGAAGCCCGCATGATTGCATCGGCACCATGCCGCAACCTCGACACGATGTGTGCAGTATTTGGCCGAACTTCCTGTGCCGGGTCTAGTGTGCGCTTTAGGATATCCGGATTTGCTTCCAACATATCAGCGGTCCAGCGAAGCTCTGAAGCTCTCAACTGGAACAAGTTGGCTTTTGCTTTCTGTATGTCATGCCAACATTCCTTCAGCTCTTCAAAAGAGTGGAATGTCTTGAGATTTTTATCTTCAATACCGTTGGAGTAATCAGGAGCACCGAACCGAGTCAGGTCTATTTTACACCAATGAATATTGAGCTCATCATGAATGCGGTACTTCATATAGTTCAAGATATAAGTCTCTCCATATTTCTGAGGCGCAACACAGTGGATATTTGTGGCCAGATAGTTTGTTCCACGCCAATGATCTCGTAAAAATCCCTTTCCCACTGCCCTGAATATGTCTTGGTAGAGCTGGGCAGCGTATTTCCACTTAGCGAGAGTTTCTGGGTCGGCGCCGAACATGCTTCTGCAGATTGGATGGGACATGATGCAGTCTTCCACTCGATCATTATCGTAGCATAGTAGCTTGAGCACGTCCCATACTCGCAGGTCATCAATGATTTGATGAGCGAGCTCGGTCGGCATAGTCGCGATATTTGTGACTATAGAACTGGTTGGTGCTTTTTGGTTACCCATTTTGTCACGTCCGTTGTCTTTGAAAAATGTGACGAAAAGAAAGATAAGGGAAAGATCACAAAATATCACAAATGTTGTGGAGCGTCATGCGATGCGGCTAGCTAGTCGGGATCGACAACACTAGTGTCTGAGTCATTTGCGTTGAGTCATCTCAAGCTTCTACCTATTTATCTATGCCTTTCTATCCTGTTCGGTATTTTGTCCTGGGAAAAATTCAAACAACAAGATGAAGGAAGGGCTCCCGGGATTGCATCTGCCAGACGCAGAGACAATCGCACAGCGCTTGCGACAAGACCAGCAAGCCTGCAGAGAGAGAAAAGTGCCCAGTAATCTAGCAATCCAACTATCTTCTGTTACGGAAGATATCTTTGATGAAGTAGCCTGGCATCTCACTCCACAAAGCGAAGTCTCCAAAGCATTGCGATCGACTAGATGCAAGAGCATCATCAAAGGCATCGCGGCCTACCTAGGCCAATTGGAAGCGATGGCCAAATCTGAGGAACATATATCGATGGATAGTATGCATGTCCCAGCATCAGAAGAGTTAGAGACAACAATTAAGGTGCTAGACTATCTTCAAAAGCACAAAGTGGTTGCTCCAACAGACCCTCTGTCTGAAGTTCTTTTAGCCGTGCGAGGGCAACTCTCCATGGACGACAATATTCGATACACACAGCATGAAAGATTCCAGAGAAATGACGCACCAAAGTCTTCAGATGTGAAGAAGAGATGCTACATCTGTCGGTACCGCTTCTCGCCCACTGATTCGCACGAACTATACCCGTCACTATGTCGCCAATGCGGCATGTTCAATATCGGCTGCTCGAATCTCTCCCTGCCAGAAAAGCTCATTCTTGCTGGTAAAGTTGCCCTCGTTACTGGCGGGAGAATAAACTTGGGTTACTCCACTGTATTGAGACTCCTCCGCTGTGGAGCCAAAGTCATTGTATCCTCTCGGTATCCAGCGGATGCTGCTGTTCGATATTCCACGGAGCCAGACTTTTCCCAATGGGAGAAAAGACTGAAGGTGGTTGGTGCAGATTTCAGAACAGCAAATGATGCTTTCCGGCTAGTACACATTGTGAAACAATTACTCCGTGCTTGGGATGGCGAGACTCCATCTGATACGCCACAATCCCTGGATATACTTATCAACAACGCCGCGCAAACCCTTACCGATCCAATCAAAGGGGAAGTGAGAGCCATTTCCAGAGAGGACCATCTAAAAGACCATCCACAGGCCATGGCTCTACTTGCAGAATCCGAGAACGACAAGTACACACCCCGCGTAAGAGGAGGACAACAAGCAACCTGGATCCCATGCATTACGAACAACAAAACCCAGCCTCAAATTGAAGATACAAGGAGTACCCAACCTACAAACCAAATAGCCACAAAAGGCCTTCAGATGACAAACAATGAAGACGAAGAGCCCTCAAAATCATCCTGGGTCCAATCCCTCCACGAAATTCCCTACTCAGATCTAATAAGTGCCCACTCGGTCAACGCCTTCGTGCCTCTAATCCTCTGTCGCGAACTCCTCCCATTGATGGGCACTTCACCCCCCTCCTCCTCCCCTTCCCCCTCGGCTCCATCCACACCGGCGGGATACATAATAAACGTCTCATCTCGCGAAGGAATACTAGAAGATACACCCCAGTCAAGCAGCAAAGCTGGACACCACGTACACACGAATATGTCAAAAGCAGCGATCAACATGATAACAGAGACAGAAGCACATGTTGCATGGAAGGGACGGCGTGTTGCTATGAATTCGGTTGATCCGGGGTATATGAGTGCTGCGCCGGAATGTCGGACTGACGAGGGGTGTCCGATTGGATTTGAAGATGGTGCTGCGAGGGTTTTGTGGCCTATTGCTGTTGGGGAAGTTGAGGGAAAGGCTGTTTGGGGGAGGTTTATGAAGCATTTTCGGGTGGGAGTTGCCATTACGCGGAGGGGGTAGAGTAGATACATATCAATAGCTGCAAGTGAGAAACTTCACGAAGTATCGAAATCATGGAAGGTTTCTGTTGAGATGATCCCATCTGCCGTTTGCTTACAGATTGAGCGCCTTTTTATTAGATTCAGGTATAAATATCCCGCTCTTTCTAGATTGAATGCACAGGGAGCAAGTCAGGATGAAGGCAAAGAAAGGACAAGTAATGGTCTTTTCCACATTAATTGAACCCTCAAATGATCCCCCACCTCCAACTGTCTGCATATCTATATACCATCATCCTCCTGCTCAACCGATGCCTCCGTGATGTAGGCATCCCAGGCCTCACAAGTAGAATTCAAAGTATCATAATCAATCAACTTCCGCGCGTCCGAATACCTCTCCAAGAACTGAATAGCAAATCCCTCCTCAGTATGCCATCCGATATGGCAATGCATCAGCCAAGCCCCGGGGTTATCAGTCTTGAATGCAACAACAAGATATCCAGATCCCGGGAGCATAGCAACATCCCGACGGGGCGGGTTCGTCAAGCTGGTGATATCGGAAGAGCTGTACGTCCCTGTTCCCTGCGCTAGAATATAGAAGTCATGGCCGTGCAAGTGAATGGGATGTGGGACAGTCAGGATAGTTTCGATGACAACATAAGACCACTCATTTGCGCGCGGAAGCACGACTACGCCGCTTTCGGTGGTGAATGATGTGTCATTGTTCCAGATTTGTAGTAGTGTCGGATTATCCCAGTATACTTGCATCGATGTCCCGTTCATCTTCCAGCGGAAGAGACTCTCGGAATTCGTGCCTAGTGTGACTGGCTCGCTGGAGTTGTAGTATGGCGCCGATGCACTCTGACCCAGGTACGGGACGAGATCGGAGATGTCCTCATCATCACAACTATCGGTGTATGTGTATGCGGTTGTGTTGGGCGTGGAGGCTGTGCTGCCGTAATAGACGATTCCTTTGATGTTGTCTGTGCTGTCATTGTCGGAACAGGCGGATTGGGGAATTGCACGCATCCAGAAACTGTCGTTTCCGGTGGATTGATCTGCATTGACCACAATATCGTACCGCTGGCCTGGATAAAAAGAATGGTTAGTAAGATTATTTGCAGTTGGTAGGTAACTGGTCTCTTACCCATGCCGATGCTCAGGACAGTTGTGTTGAATGGCTCGATAGGTACCAAGTCCATAGCCATGACCGTCAGAGTATGATTGTCAATTGAGAACTTGAAGTGAGTGTCAACCGCAGCATTGATAAGACGGAGTCGATAAGAAGTGCCTGCAGTGAATGATGTGTTGAAACGATAGCCTGTTTGGCTGGTTGAATCGTCATCTCCATACACATTTGTGCCGTTGATGAGGCCATTGTCCAATGTGGGCGGACCACTGGCCTGGGCAGTGGCGTAGAGCTCATCAACAGTCTGGTGACTCCAATCATTGAGAAACAAAACTCCTTTGTCCACATCATAGTTCTCAGTGGCAGGTCCGTTGATAACAATCCCACCGAAGACACCTTCATAGGCTTGCAACCCGATGTGAGAATGGTACCATGACGTTCCATATTGTGTGGCTCTCCACTTATAGGTTGTTGTCTGTCCTGGAGCAGTAGGACATTGGGTGATGGAGACAACGCCATCGTTCGGATTGGTATAGTTCTGGCGGATGCCGTGGAAATGAATGCTAGACCCATTCACTGAGGTCAGATTGTTGGTGACATGAACGATAACATTATCACCCCAGTTGGCCTCAATGGTAGGGCCTGGAATTGACCCGTTGATTGCCATTGCTGCGCGAGAGTAGCCATCGGGAGCAACTGTAACATCTTCGATATTGAGGTAATACTCTTTGGTCACGCCCGTGGTGGGGACGACATCATAGTAGTTGGTGCTCACATCGTACTTGCACCAGCTCTGTCTATCACTGGCAGTATTTCCTGAGCAAAAATCCCGTCGAAACATGGTGTGTCTGCTTTGATGGATCGAGGTTGCTGAGGCTACTCCCGCGACGGCCACAAGAGCAGTCCAGATCTTCATGCTCGCTTGAGGCCGGTCAAGAATGCTAGAAATTGCCACTGCAGAGAACAAAAATAGAGTAAATGTATAGAAGAATGGAAAATAAAGATGAAAAATGAGAACAACAACGGATTTGTTTGAAACGACTGTCAGATGATTTATAGAAAGGTATTGTAGGTACAAACCACCTTTTATCAACATATAGAATCCCCCGATGCTGCACCATTGTGATACCTCGCCAAGTAAATTGAAACTCGTCTGGGTCATCCAAAGGATCAACAAGTTAACGAAATCCATGACATCTGGTTTGACTCAGCTTGAATGAACATGTAAGGGTGCGTAAGCTCAGAGCTAGAGCGGCCGATCCGTGGCGATCGTGACAATCCAGAGTTGGCCTATTTATGAAGCTATTTTTAACTACTGTGAGCTGCGCGAGGCTATCGATCTAGAGGTGGGCCTGCACGATTGGAGAATATGCCCTAATGCAGGCCACTGTCACGAATTGCGCGGCGTAGAAAATCTAAGATAGAGCAGAGATAAAGAATAATTTCCAAGCCCCATCAGATTACTTCGATTGGAAGAAAGGTTTGGTAAAACTGTAGACTATCGCCATACGTTGGGTGCCCCCTCCCAGAGTAGGATCCATGGACTGCCTACAACTCGACCAAGAAAGGCTATTGTAGTCCATTTCCACTTACTTAAAGAAATTGCGCTATACTCTGAAGGCTGCAAGACAGATTACCCGTGCATTCTGCCAAGCTCATTGATATCGTGTAGGTACCAAGCAGGTACCACGCGGACCACCCGCGGCACCGACGTCAGCCAACGCGCGGCCGGGACTCGTCCACACACCCAGTTTTGACAACTCTCTACAGATCTATATTTTGCGAGAAACTATAGAAGATTCTAACGGCGATTGGACACTGCATGTTGACCTGAAACTTTGACTAAGCGGAGCTCCGCCTCCGAGGCCACAATATGCAAAGGGACTATGTATATAGGGAATGAGAACAAAATAGTCAAGTCCCTGCAAAGTCTTGTACAAAGTCAAACATCGAACAGCTTTCTGAGTATCTGATATCAACCATGTTTCGTTTCTTAGTCTCCTGCACCATGCTGTGCCTGGGAGCATCCGCGTACGCTCCTACAGTCGCGCGGAGAGCCCCCGAAACGGGTGAGCAGTTCGCACTTTATGCGTATGGAGAGTCTGTTGGTGGTCTCTCCCTTTTCTATGCAGATGGTAAGCTTTAGCATTCACCGACAGACTATATGGAACCATATTGACAAGGTGCTAGGCCAGGCTCAGATTGGTGACCCAGCCAACTCAACTGCTTCGGAAGTCTCAAGTGTATACTGTTAGTAAAATCCCCCACCCTACAGTCATGATTATACGCTAATACAGGACATACTAGTCGAGTCCTCGGATAGCACTTGGGTCGGCAACCCGAATGGAACCACCAATGGAAACGCCAGCTGGTCCGATCAGATGCTTTACATCCCCAGTTCATCATCTTCGAGCCACCAAATGGGGTTCACATCGAAGAATATGTCGAATGTTACTACTACGGGTTTCATCTTCTATGGAAATTGGATGATGGTGGAATCGGATTCTGGCGAGATCTCTTCCAGCTTCTATGTTAGGGAGAACTCCCAGGGTGAAGGCATTTATTCCTTGCTGTGGAATGTGTCTGATGAAACAACTGCTATCCCAGTGTCCTTGCGTTCCGCGAAGCCTTCTAACGCTTGAGATACTGGCTGCAAGGAGAAACGATGATGCACTTAGACATCTAGGTAGCAAGGTATCAAGGTCACAAGGCCTTGCTTGCCGGCTTGCAGTTAGATATGCCTCCGTCTTTGTTTCCATGGGGTATATAAAGGGCTCCATTCCAGTAGATAGACTATCATCAGCGTTCACTTCCGTTGATCGCCTTCTTGCTTCCACATTGTAGAGACATAGCTGAGTACGTCCATCAAACGGGGGTTGGCTGCTGGGATGATTTGGCTTTGGTTCATATGAAAGTAATTCCACATTGAAGAGGGGAACACTCAAGGAAGTATGCTCTAAGACGGGTCGATTCAGCACTCGTAGTTCAGCTTCATACTCAACTTTGCATGTAGAGGATCCCTGGTGCACTGCCCAAGTGGATTCAGGTGTAGGAGTGTGTATTCTCAATATGTTTCTCTCTGCTACTTATAACCTCATAACCTAACGCTTACATAACAAACTCATAGAAAAATAAGAAAGAGGTGAGGGCAATGCGTAGTGGAGAGCCTGTCGCCCCACTACAACATGTAAATAGCAGCATAAGAACAGCTTCCGTATTAGGCTAGTACATGCATAGCCTGTAGCGCTTATAGAATCCTGTAAATACTAGACATTGTCACAGGCACAAATGAGAAAGAGGGGTTTATACTGCTGTATTGGCTATTGGCAAGGGAACTGGGGGTAACACACGCTAGGTCTACCTAATTAGGCCTAGTGCAACTTCATGCTGTAAACTAAACTTTGCTTTTTAAGGTGGGGTTTGGTTAGGTCCTACCGCCCACGTGACTGACTACCTTAATTCTATTGACTTGATCTTAAATCCCGCCTTTTTGGGTAGAATTCTGCCGTTTTAAAACACCCCTTCTATAAATAACCCCAAACGCCAAGACCACCCACTGTTAGATAGTTTCGGGTAGCATTGACCACCGTCAGCGGCAAGAGCAAGTGTTCGCTAATAGTCCACATCACTGTGTATGGTAAAACGAGTTTTATATCCGTTCTATTTATGTATTTCGCAGTGCACTTCTGAAGACTCCTCCTCGTCTGGGCATCAATATACCGGAGAAACTGGAGAGACCGACGATAATGACAATGTGTGCTAAGACATTTGCGAACAAGGAATTGAATATACGCAGGTCTATATTTTTAGGGCTAAGCACTATAACCTCAAATAGAGACCGAGGCGGCAATTAGTTAAGAAGATTTCTATTACGGATAAGTGTTCCGCCGTGCTTATTTTGTGTAAGTTAGATAGATAATTACCTAACGTTATGTAGGCAATGATCAATGGTCATGGCATTGTTTGAGTGTCTACATACTGTCGAACTACGAGCATGGCGCGGCCCTAAACAGGAACCGAGGTTTTCGTTATGGTCTAGTGGTAAATTGGCAGTATTATTTCCCACATCAAATTGGCACTTATCAAAGACCCCTAACCATGAATTTAAGGGATATAAAAAGAAAAGAAAGTGAACGCATGCGTGATAAAATCCTCACCAATGAGCGAATCTAGACAGTTTCGTAGCAGAATCCCTTACCACTTTCTTAGAAAGTTGCTTCCAGGTGAACTGACTATGTTGTATATTCCAGGTTGCCGCCAGTGCTGACTAAAATTACATTCGCTTCGCCTGTATTTTCGTAAAATGAAAGGGGCAGTGCATGAGGCTAAAGGTAAGGAAAACCTTGATGTGTGGGGCCGAGGGTCAGCCTTGGAACCTCACAACCTTAGGTCCCTGACGGCCCCCGGGGCCAATCCTTGAAACTAGCCAAAAAGGGAAGTGCATAGGTCAGTGTACTCAGATTACATACTCTCTCTCTCTCTCTCACAAATACCAACTACTCACACAGAACCTTCCGGGCCATATACCTTCCCTTGCGTCCATTCTGATGGCATCAGAGCCCCTAACTTCAATATGGTAGCTCAAGAACGCTCTCCTGAACAGTTGGGCAACTATGCCTCTGTTGCAAAAGAGGAAAATGAGAACAGTGGCCATCGAAAACTGTGGGCGCCGTTCTTTCTACGCCGCCCGATCATGATCGTATTTTTGTTCAGTTTCCTGTCACTCTTGGGCACACTCATCGCGCTTTATGTGTACACCCAACGCCAGGGTCGAAGTTTGGGAATTAAGACTGATGGTGATCGATACTATTATTTATGGACATATGGGCCGACTGCAGGTACGCAGACCTATGACTTGCCTACAAAAAAAAGATCTAATGTTGGTTTAGTATTTACGATCCTCACAGCCGGCTGGATGCAGGCTGAATACCGCGCCGCACAGCTCATGCCGTGGATTTTGATGCACCAGGGCCTAACACCAGCTTCGCAGAGTATTTTCCTCGACTATATGTCGAAATGGAACGTTGTATCGCTATATCAATCCCTGAAGCAAAAGCACTTTCTGGTATCTCTCTGTGTGGCAGGCTCGCTGCTTCTTAACGGCGTGACAGTGTTTTCAACTGGTCTCTTTGAACTTGATTCAGTGCCCATCACTCGTCCCTCGAGTCTGATCGTCCCCAGAGCGTTTAGCGGGGCCAATTATACGGCGACTCATTATGACTCCCGGTCATATGCGGCCTGTTCTGCATTTGCTGCCCGTAATTTAACACGTCCTTTCGGTCTCCACGAACCCTACATATACACACCTTTTCAACCGGCCAGCTCACATGCGACAGAAAACAATACCATCCCGATAGGCCCGAGATATCAGGCGGATATAGAAGTCATTGAGCCTTCCCTTGATTGTCAGAATGGGACCGTGACTTGGGGGTCCGGTCTCATGCCGTCACCAGACTGGAATGGTACAGTCGAGCAAACATATGTGGAAAGAAACACCACAATATGGTCAGCCCCGGACGGATGTACTTATAAGATTCCCGCCAGCAGTATCGAATCGATACTGAACAAAGGAAATATCAGCATTGAGATGCATCTAACCGCATGTGGAGGCGAAAGCGCCAACGCCTACGCTGTCGGCAAGAATTTGCTTGTGGACTGGACTGTTGATTGGCGAGTTTGGGCGGCTGTCGTAAACACGGTTGGCGTTAAATTCCCAAAAAATCAAACACTGCAATCGGCATGGGATACTCCTCCTATTCACCTGGTTGTCTGCAAACCTAGGTATAATGCGTATTGGGGCCCAGTGAGAATCTGGCGTGAATCTGGACAGAGCGCCGTATCATCGGATATCCAACCGCAGCGCTTGAGGGTTACAGAAGGAATCACAAATGTGTCAGCAGCAAAGATTTTACATAGTAGCTTCCGCTCCTTGAGTCTTAGCGAGGCCGATGGGAGTGCGGTGATTTCGGAGGAAGATTTTCACTTTACCGGACCCAAAGGCACTTCACAAGAGGTGTATTGGAACGATATGCCGGCGTTTACGGATGCCATGCAAAATGAGTTCTCGTGTCTTATGCGGCAGGTCATGCAGTATGAGCTGCTTCAATCTGACCCGCACAATGTTGAAGGCACGGAGCAGTTTATTGAGGAACGTCTATTTGTGCGTCAGTTGTCGTTCTGGCTGATGGCAGCTCTACTGGTTTGTTTGATTGCCATTGTCACCACCCTCCTTTGCTTCTTTGTCCCGGTTGCCGTGTGCCCGCGTGACACGGGGTCCATTGGGGGAATGACGGCTGTCTTTGCCCAGAGCCCAGAGTTTATGACCTCATTCAAAGGATCACAGCTCAAGACAGAATCGCAAATGGCGGATACTAGGCTGGGCCGGACACTTTATACCTCAAGTCACACGGAGGAAACGTTCAGGCTACTTCCACAAAATGAATCAGCGGATGAACCGGCATCTAAAGGCATCAAATCCAGTGAACAGGATACCTCTTCACCAACATGGTGGTATCCCTTCTCGACCACATGGCTCATAAAGATTTCCGTGGTTGCCCTTCCCGTCGCCGTGATTATAGGTCTCGAGGTTGTCTACCACATCTCCGCTAGTACGCATGGTATCACCCTGGTCGACGGAAAATCACCTTATATCCACTACATCTGGACCTATATCCCGGCATTAGTCATGTTTACCATCCGTGTCGTGTTCACATCCGTCGAGTTTGGCGCACGGATCGTCCAACCCTATGCTCTTCTCCGCGAGGGCTCTGCTCCACCACAAACAACCATCTTCGAGAACCAACTCCGCAAAATTGCCCTCTACGGGGTATTTGATAACCTTCAAAAGAAACAATGGACTCTCGCCGCAGCCACGTCGTCTCTCCTTCTTGCAGCAATAAACCCAATCGTGGTATCCGGTCTTTATACCGCCGAAGCCTCGTGGCCCACATCCCCTATGAATATCACGCAAACTACCCGCTGGAATCTAGGAGACCCCACTTCGGGCGACGAGTTAAAGTATAGCAAAGTCGTGGACTTTAATACAGATAAAACGGCCGGCCTTATCATTAATCTCAATCTATCCGAACCACAATGGACATACAACAATCTTGCCTTCCCACAATTCGCCCTCTTCGACACCAGCCTACCACCAGGCGCAGGCTACATCGATGCCCGCATCCCCGCTCTCCGCAGCCAGCTCTCTTGTGCAAAAACCCCAGTCAACTGTTCCACTTCAAGCACTGGATATTATTGCGCCTCTGATGACCCCTGCTATAGGCATAAGAGTGGAGCAAACCCGTTGGACGACCCGACATACTTCCTTCGAGGTACTTACCTCTTTCCGGCCGAAAATGCAACCTCAAACTGCTCCACTGACAACATACTATACGGCTTCTATGGCAACAATGCTGTGTCGGCCAAATACTATTTGCTCAATTGCAATGCGACAATAGAAGAAGTAGATGTCGACACAAGACTTCAGCTCCCTTCCTTCTCCATCGACGCCGACATTCACCCCCGGGTCGTCCCAAACACAAACAGAACAGTCTTCAACACGACCATTGACTCCTTCCCTTCACTGAGCACGATTGAGAATTACCTCTTCAAAACAAACCCTAACATCAGAAACATACTCCTCAGCACTCTAACCGATGGCATCCACGGCGTCCCTGCCGAAGAACTTCTCGACCCGACTGTCCTGGCAGCACGTCTTAATACAGTTTGGGGCATCATCATGGCGCAATTATTCAATTCCAATGGGCGGGAATCTTTTGATGACCCGCTGAACACTACTTGGTTTGTTGAGCCTGCTACGAGACACGCACCTACATACGAAGGTATCTTCCATGATGGCCGGAAGTATCTCGTGCAAAGTGAAGTTTCCACGCGCATCCTGGATGGCGTATTGGCCGGGATGGTGATTTGTGCACTTGCTGTGCTTTGTGTAATGCGGACAAAGGAGGTTTTGCCTAAGAGTCCGTGTAGTATTGCTTCAGTTGCGAGTCTCGTTGCTGAGTCAAGGTTATTGGAACTTTTGAGGGGTTCGGAGTATTCTGATGCGGAGTTGAGGAAGAGGGGGTTGTTTGAGGGGTTGTTTTCAATGGGGTGGTGGGAGGTTGAAAAAGAGACGAGTCAGTCTGATGCTTCGGCTTCGAGTGGTTCGAGTGTGTCTAGTGTTGAGGTTGAAAACCACGATGGAGGGCGTACTTCGGCGATGGAGAGTGGTGATGTTAATGAACGGGTTGATGATAGGCGGACAAGATTTGGGATTGATATCGAAGGGAATACGCCGTTGTTACGTGATGTTTCATGAGGCTTTCTGAAGATTTTTTGTTATATACGATACCCATATGAAGCCACGTAGTATAACGACAAGAAATCCAAGTACTTTCGTCATCTTGGAAAAAAAGCCAGACTTGACCTTTCACATTATTCCAGATATAGTTTGCTTATCAATAGCAGGTAACTAGTTAACATTTGTACTAGTTACTATCTATAGCTAGCATATACATTCATCCATACCTATGGACCAGATTACAGATGTAGCTTTCCTTTTCCATTTCAGTGCTCACCTCTTATCGCATTTTGCTCACCGAGTAAATGCGAGCACGCCTTAGCACGCCTTAAGACTCCCTAAGCATTTACATGCACTAGTTAACTAGTGAACTAGCTATGTGTGAGGAGGTAATACATTGGAAAGGCGTCATCATGCGTGATACTTGCCAATTTCCCCCCGCAAGAGAAACAGACCTCACGATTGGCTCTGGCTATTCTTCGGCGTTAAGTTAAAGATATAAGCATATATGAATTTGGTGGATGGAAGAGTAACATTCAACTAAACTTTGAAGAAAAGCTCTACTTAACTTAAGGTTGAATATTAGACCCTAGGAATTATACAAAGATAAAACAGTGAAGCGCCTAGCTTACATTGTTTTTTCTTTTATATATATATATACATCCAGAAATTTTGATGCTTAAGAGTTGCTCGGAGATCACGCTAGATTCACACTAGATTAATACAAAATCCTATTTAGTATTTGGGAGCGTGATACTAGTTGATATGGCACCATCGAACCTACCGTATGATAACATCAGCCAGGATGCTATTGAAATTACATATAAAAGACTGCTGAAAACTGAATCACGGTTGGAATAAGCAACTAGAAATCTGGGCATGATGAGCGACATTTCCAAAACGCCGGTTGTTGAGACGACTTCTGAGAACCGGGAGGAGTTCTTGGCTAGTTTCAGTTCACAAGAGGAGAAACATATCCGACGCAAGGTTGACAAGCGTTTCCTTTTGCTAATTGGTTTGATGTACATGGTTAAGCAAGTATGTATTATCCATCTCCAGACTTGATCCAAAATACTAAGTGTCAGATTGACGTGAACAACGTCTCCAGCATCAAAGTCCTGCAGGTTGGAGAGCAGTCCAACATTCTCAATGAATTGAATATGTCTGCTGACCAGTATAACTGGGTATCCTCGGTATACACGGTATGTCTCTCACTCCATACCTGAGAATGGTTCTAACAGGGTAGATTGGGTATATTATCTTCGAAACACCGAGTAATCTCCTGCTAAAGAAGATGACTCCAAGGCTATGGCAGACGAGAATTTTCTTCACCTGGGGGATTGTTCTAGCGTGTCAGGCAGCTGTACAAAACCGCCAGGGCTTGCTCGCCCTGCGCTTCCTACTCGCAGTCCTTGAGACCGGGTCCTATCCAGGAATCTTAACACAGCTCAACTCGTGGTATCCGAGCGACGAAATGGCCACTCCGGTTGTGTGGCTATTAGGTATATCCCAGTGTTCATCGATTGTGGGCTCGCTGCTCTGTTATGGTATAAGCTACATGGATGGCATGCGGGGACTAAGTGCATGGCGATGGTATATATCTCCCTTCGACAATTTGAGTCTTGCGTGTGAGATCAAGCTAATGGAGAAGGGTATAGGGTATTCATCATTGAGGGTGTCATCACCGTTCTCTTCTCGGGTGTTATATTTCTCGTGCTCCCCGATTACCCCAAATCTCCGAGGAGTAACAAATGGCTCAGCCCACGCGAACAAGAATTCATTGAGGCTCGGCTGGGTGACCGTGCTCCTAAAACAGCCGATCCGGCCTTCAGCAAAAAGGAGATTCTCGCTGCTCTCCGATCACCCATTCAATGGTCTTTTACATTCTCCCAAATGCTCATTAACCTCGGAATGTACGCGCTTCAGTGGTATCTCCCAACCCTCACCACCAGTTTCGGCTTTACAAAACTACCGGCCAACCAGTTACTCAACATTCCACCGGCTGCCACGGGCATCATTGGTGTAGTACTGGGCGCGTTGATCCTGCGACACGCTAGTTTTTCAAAACCAATCCAGCTATTGTATGTCATCCCCTTGCGTCGTGATACCATCGCTAACTTCTCAGGGTGTACAATGTGGGGATGATCATCGCCTTCATCCTTTTCTTCGTCGTTTCCGCCACACCCGGTCTATACGTTGCATGCATGTTAGGCACCTTCTTCGTAAATATTTATTACATTCCCTTTATCTCGTGGCGCTCGGCTACTATGAAAGGGGCCACGGGAACAGCCTTCGCTTGGGGTTTACAGAATTCCATCGGCCAGCTTGGTGGTGTTATTGGACCACAGCTGTTCCAGTCTAAGTGGGCATATAACAGATATAAAAACAGTTTCGGTATTGCTCTAGCGGGGGTCGTTGCTGCCATAGGGAGCAATCTTATCTGTTGGTGGCGGACCAACAAGCAGGAAAAAGAGGAGTTAGAGGCTTCATCTCGGCCGTGATAACACCGGTCCCATTTATGCTCTATATATATACCCCTGCGGGCACTCAGTTCGAGAAGGAAACACGAAGAGGCAGTTGCAAAAAGCGTCTCCGTTTAGCTTCGCCCGATCTTGCTTTCTAAAAGGCGCATCAGATCAAGTATAATCATTGAGACCACAATAAAAACAATGGTTCCGCTAAGACACAATTCCCGAGGACGTTCTATTAATTCTAAAACAGTGGGCCACATTATGACGGAGCCCAGTCAAGCATTGTTCAAGGTTGCAGCGAAGTCACTGAAAAGAACCTGCAGCCGCTGGCCCTCTTCATCTGCAACTTGACTATGAGTCTTAGCACTTCCAATTGGGTGATAGGGGAATGGTCTAAGGGCAGGTTAGCATCCAGCCCGCAGCCGGGGGGTTATAGAGGACCAACCCATATTCTGGCACAAAAACAATCCTTTTCGTTGCTCCATCCTTGACTCGCGAACGGATGACATCCTTCCAAATCCTCTCAAAGCAATCTTTTTCTTCTCTGAAGACGGGGTTTGTAGGTTCCGGGCATTGAGATGCTTGTGTCGTTCCAATTCGTGCGTGAATATGGTAAACCTAACCCGGCATTAAGATCAAATAACCTGAAACTTGCGTGAGTGCTCCTTACATGCGGTATGATAGCGTCCATCATAAATTTATCGCCTTCGCTAAGGTCAAGGACTCTCTCACATCCAACCATCCAATGGGAGAAATCAGCCGTAATCCGAAGCCTAGGGTAATGTTAGCACTTTGTTCAATGGGCGAATGATGGCAGGTAAAGTTTTTCCTACTCGGGGACAGCCTCCAGAATACGTCGTGTGGCATATGGCGTGAAGAGTGATCGGTTTCTGTGGGTCTCATGGTAGACACGGCCAGATATTCCAAGCTCGCTGTCAATCTCGATAGTCCCCTTATAGAATTTAATTGACTCCTCGACGTCCCAAAGGTCTCTTGAGCTAAATGTCAGATACAATACACAATAATGAGGTTATACAGTTGTCACTTACTCGCCTGATTGGAAGTTCATGGTCGATGGCTTCAATTGCTGTACCGATTTGAGCAGGCTTCGATAATTTTGCAAGTGGTGGTCTGCTTTGGTACCAGCTGGGCGGGGTCCGAGATACTGAAACCAAGACGAGTGTATCCTTGTACTCAAATGAGTAAGTTGCTTCTTTGGCTTTCTAGAATGCTCAATCGCTTACATCAACCCAAGCTCTAAGCCAGCCTGGTCGCAAAGTTCTCTAAGACGGGGAAAGTCCCTGCTTGGCTCCAGTGGATGAATATCTACCTCGACACCACCTACCAAGATTATGTTAACATAGTATTTAAAACGTGGCGGGATGTGAACATACTGTAACCTTGAGCTTTTAGTTCTGGAAACCATTGGGCCCAGTTGTCCATGTTCAGACCGGGAACAATTCCCCAGACAGATCGAAAACGGTCGATTTTCATAGCGTAGGATAGAAGGCGGACTGTGTGTATTGGAAAAGTTTCAATCGAACTGGAGAAACGAATTCATTTATGTTTTTATGAAAGCTCAATGTGTACCTCTCATTGAAAGTTCGTGTACCCAATAGGTAAAGTTCCCCGCCTAGTACCAAGGTTAGGCATTCGAGCCGACGCTATCATTGGCTCTTTTTCTTTTAGAGTGACCCCACTGCCAAGGCTCAATTGGCCCAAATTGGGTCACTTTGCGGGGGAAAATGCCATTTTAAGGACGAGACTCGCTGGAGTGATGTCAGAAAATATGGGAGATACTAGTAGCGTCGATATAGGCAAAACAAAAACATTGCCCGACGGGGTTTCTTCTTGGGAGGAACATGGTATACATTCCGTATCTCTCCACTAGACTGTGGTTTGAGAAGCAAAAGTTCTTTCATGCTCAAGCTTGAAGACGAAATGAGTACAACCAACACGATAATAGCTGCAAAGACACCGACCTTTCTGAACAAAATTGCACGTCCAGGGCTACGATGATTCGCCTTATGACATGATTTCCTGAAAGGAATTATTGGCCTAAATATTGACGATGCTGATCATGGTATAAATTCTGATCGAACGCGTGGGAATCAGCTAATTCTCCCACAGCATTGAACCCCGATCCCAAAGACCAGTTTATAGTAAGGTCGAGGGTTGCAAAAAAGGCAACATTCCCCGCGTCAAACCAGTGCGGGGATACTGCAGCTCCCCCTCATATCACTGTTTATAGCAAAGCAAATTATAAAGTAAAGCTCCGCGTTAATTATTAGGTACGCGTTGGCTGAACTGTGAGCTACTGCTGGGACACTTTCCTACAAATATTCAAGCACCCCCGCCGAGTGTGCGCCTCAACTCCTCACGATTTAATTACCTCCACGAAACACAATCACAATGGCTACAACAACTATGAAAGCGCTCAACTACCTCGGACCTTACCAGGTTCGGGTTGAGGATGTCGAAAAGCCGAGGATGGAACATCCTGATGATATAATTGTAAAGGTGACTACGGTGAGTGATGTGAAGACTCTGGTAACTTGATGATGCAAAACAAACTAATCGGGTATCAAGGCTGCTATTTGCGGTTCGGACTTGCAGTGAGTTTTCCTTAGCCATGTCTAAAGCGCTTCTTTCTGGGATACTGACTGTGATACAGTATGTACGAAGGAAGAACAGCCGCTGAGCCCGGGATTACATTCGGTATTAGTTCCTCGCCTGAAGACTCGAAAATTGTTAAAAGCGCTAACATCAAGCGCAGGTCACGAGAACATGGGAATCGTGGAAGAATTGGGAGAGGGAGTTACATTGTTGAAAAGGGGAGATCGTGTCGTCATGCCCTTCAACGTCGCCGATGGTCGGTGTCGAAACTGTGAGGAGGGGAGAACAGCATTCTGCACTGGTGTCAACCCTGGGTTTGCTGGCGGTGCCTACGGTAAGGTTCAAACCTTGCCTATAATTAATTGGAGTTAACGAGACCTAGGATACGTCGCAATGGGTCCCTACCGCGGAGGTAAATTTTCCAGGAAAGATTCAATCTTGATACAAGACCTTTAACAGTTAATACAGGCCAGGCACAGTACATTCGTGTCCCATATGCCGACTTCAATGCTCTTAAGTTACCCCCGGGTAAAGAGCATGAAGCAGACTTCGTTCTTCTAGCTGGTAAGTTTAATGATTGGCGTTCGTCTCTGCGCGATTTCCTATACTAATGCAGATTTCGTTAGACATCTTCCCAACCGGTAATATAATCCCCCTATTTTCCCTACGATCGAAGTTTATCTCTGATTTTTGATCATATCTATAGGCTGGCATGGTGTGGAAATCTCCGGTTTCCAAGCAGGTGAAAGCATTGCAGTATTCGGTGCTGGACCTGTCGGACTGATGGCCGCGTACTCCGCTGCTCTACGGGGAGCGTCTAACATTTATGTTGTTGATCGCATTGCGGAGAGACTTGATGCCGCCAAGAAGATTGGCGCTATTCCTATAGACTTCACAAAGGGGGATGCCGTCGATCAAATAATCAGTCACAACGGGGATATGGTTGACCGTTCGGTAGATGCCGTTGGGTACCAGGCTGTCGACTCCAATGGTTCTGCTGAAAAGGCGAATATCGTTCTTGAGAACATGATTCGAGTGACGAGGGCTTGTGGTGGGATGGGAATCCCTGGATTATACGTTCCTAGGTATGTGAACAAAAGTCTGACATTGCCGACAACGTACCTAACGATTCTATAGCGACCCTGGTGCATCTGACGCTGCCACCGCGAATGGAATGATCAGCCTTAGCTTCGGAAAGTTGTTTGAAAAGGTAACGTTCTCTCTACTTTTTCATTATACCGACCTACCTAACCTCCTGTAGGGTCTTTCTCTTGGTACTGGACAGTGTAATGTCAAGTCTTATAACCGATACCTTCGAGACATGATTATTGCTGGCAAAGCAAAGCCCAGCTTCGTGATCTCCCATGCGATTGCACTTGCAGATGCCGAGACTGCTTATGAGAAATTTGACAAAAGGGAGGATGGGTACACAAAAGTGATTATCCACCCAAATGGTGGGTTTTGAGAAATTACCGCCTGATTGAAACTCTGTCAAATAGCTAGAATACACCAGATCTATTGACATACAATGACACTAAAGCCCTTGCCCATCTATGCCAGAATATATCTGCTTGAATAAACCTACTCTAGCAAGAAAATTTTGTGGAGTGTCGAACTCAACAAGACATCTAGTTTGCGACCCGAATAGGGGTGCAGCTAAGTTAATTTCCTTGACTGCCGTCCATTTCCTTGGCTGGTCGATGTCTCTTTTCCTGGCAATACCTTCAAGATTAACTCGAGTTCCATCGCTCAGACGTATCCCGTTGGAGTCCTTCAAGCGACGTCGCTAGCCTTCCAGGTTCGGCATGCATTGGGTGGCACAACTAGAATAAAGGGTAGGAAAATAAGAGGGAAATTTTCAAGGGCTTTCAGATATATTTTTCGGGCCCTTTTGACTCGGTCATGCGAGTTGTACTCGCTCTTTCGACGGGGCGTCTCCTTCGCTCTAAGCGCTCGGGCGGTTTGCAGACAAGCACGAGACGTTCTTCGAGTATTGACCCGTAGTCGCTGGGTATCGACTGCCATCGATTCAAACGTTCTATCGCATCTTGAATACCCTGCAATGCTTTTATCTCCTTCAACATAAATGATTTTGTCTGAAAGGTGTAGCGAGTAATAGGAAGCAATAGGAGATAATAGGTAGCAATAGGAAGGCTGTTCAAATATGTTTGGAGTTCGAAGGTGTGGAGAATGTTGGGATAGTGAGCCATTGACCAGAACTTCCTTGCATTAGCTCTCTGTAAAAGAGTATTTTAAGGAATATACACTGCTGAACACTTCACGCCATATGTTGCATGAGGTACGATTCCTGCGATCCTTGAGGCTGAATCAGTCATGGCGAAGTTACGCCTGGCCACTTGCATGTCGTCGACTTCCGAACCTGGGTTTACCATACATAGCTTGTGACTCAACATACATACACTAGTGTTAGCGGGGGTCAATGCGGCTTCTGGGAATCTGATTAACAGATCGCACCCTCCCAGAGGCAGGAGATATATTTGGAATGGGACAAAAATCACATGATGAGTATTCAGTTGGTTCGTGCATTGCCCTTGGTACAAACCCACCTCCCCTGCTTTCAACACGACCAACAGAAGTCAACGCCAGAGTGGGCAGTGAGTAATTACTCATTTCTCTGTGGCCATGTATCTTAGAAGAATTATTCAGTCCGTTCCCTGCAACCCTTCCCATCTCCCGGCAAAATTACTCCCTACGGCAGATCTGGTTGAGGAAGAGCACACGGCCCATTATAAGCCTCAGCACTTTTATTCTGTACGTCTTCATGAGATACTCAACAGCCGATACCAAATAGCCGCCAAACTAGGCTGGGGAACAAGTTCGACAGTATGGCTAGCACACGATCTCCACCAGTTTGTGAAGATTACCTGATAATATATTCAAGCCTTGTCTCACTATGTCATAGGTGGCGATGGCTTCCGCCCCGATAAGTGGCCATCAAAGTTAACGCAAATAATTATGAGTCTCAAGAATCCGCGGAGAAGGAACTGCGCATTACTGAGCATATAACCAAAGCAAACACCCAGCATCCAGGCCGCAACTTCGTCGCCACCTTGTTAGACTCGTTCTATGTTGCTAGCCCGGGCGGCACTCATATTTGCATGGTCTTCGATGCGCTTTGTGAACCACTCTGGATGCTGAAGCGTCGTTTCGAAGGAAACACAATTCCTCTCGACGTCTTGAAACCGGTTTCTAAACTCATACTAGAAGGACTACAGTACCTCCACGCGGAATGCCGCGTTATTCACACAGGTACCTAACCATTCAACCGACCCTGTCCTAGAATCGGTCACAGCTAACGGACAAACAAGATCTCAAGTCCGATAACATCTTACTGGCCCTACGCAACCCGTCTATCCTGGAATCGGTCGCACAAGATGAGATGAACAATCCCTCTCCAAGGAAACAACTGGACGGTCGGGACATATACCTATCTCGGAATTACTGGGGACTGTCGCCCGACAAATTGGGTAGATCGGTAATAACTGACTTTGGGCTTGCCGTGCGCGGTGACGGGCCCCCGAACAGCCACTGCATCCAGCCAGAGGGATATCGGTCCCCGGAAGTTTGTCTCGGGGGCGACTGGAGCTACAGTGCTGACGTTTGGAACCTGGGAGTTATGGTAAAGACCTCGTTATCATAATCGCGATCACCACTAATGGTCTATCAGCTTTGGGACCTGTTCTATGGCCGCGGTCCCTTCCACGCACCACCAGACTCGTGTGGCTCAGGCTCAGCAGACGAAGCTCATCTGGGCAAGATAATTTCCCTCCTAGGGCCCCCTCCACCTGATCTTCTCGCCCGCGGAAAAGAAACATCTCGGTATTTTACGCTAGAGGTATGCTAGTTGTGTTCCTATTTAGACGCAGCTAACTGATTTTATAGGACAATTCAAATTCCCCGAACTTGTCGGGAAAAAGGACCTCATTTCTATGGCTAAAGAAATTGATGACGACGGAGTGCCCCAGTTTGTAGACTTTATTTCTAGAATGCTGCGCTGGAGGCCCGAGGACCGGCCCACGGCGCAGGACCTGCTTTCCCATCCATGGCTTCCGCAAATGAGACCTGCGAATGGATGAGAATGGGCTTATCTGTAATGGTTTCGAAACCTTTTCCGCCCTATTTCTGGTTCTTCTCCGCATTGGCGGAACCGCTGAGGTCTTTTATATGTGTCATCTCATTCCGTATTTCCAGCAACACTGTATCGTTTCCAAGTATGCCCCGAGTCAAAACTCTTTGACAAAAAGTTGGAACAGGATGATTGGGAGTGGGAAGACGGTATAGAAGTTACAAGTGATGGATTGGTTTATCCTAAGATAAGTTTGGACGGTATGCCTCTATGCAGTGTTTTCCTGTTTCTCCTGCTTAGACCACGCCAGTATCAAATGGGGCGCTCTTTATGCCAAACACCCACTTCACGCAAGCAGTGACACGAAGGTCATTTGACAATTACCTAAACGCTACAGAGAACGGCCAGCCTGCAGCCAGTTCCCTTTACTTGTCCATCTCAAAAGTTAAGCAAGCGATCATTGCTTGTATTAGAGCTGGATACTAACTTTGTAAAGGGACTACTATTTCACACATCTAGATCCGGATCAGATATTGGGTTGGTCGGAAACTCAAAGCCTACATACCGTGGACAGTTTTCTGTACGAATAGATACTCGTATCTCCTGTCGAACACAAGGTTTCACTCATTGTATGTGTTGAACCCTATCATATTGTAGACACTGTACAATATCCTGCACCTGAGCAGGCTGAGGGGAAACGGAAACCCCACGATCAAGCCATCGATTGGGCCCGCGGTATAATCGGATTGGAGCTGGTTCTAGGCGTCTGAGACCAATTGAGTCGAGGATCGTGCTCGGCCGCTTTGGCCTCGCCTATTATCAAGAGGTTTTCGGGGATTTACAACAAAATTCACCGATAGCCAGATGTTCCCGAAACACGCTCAAAGAGGCTCCGGGTTCTCGTATGACGGCTGCTGATGCTTTGGTCTGCCTCAGAACCCTACAAGAAAGCAAGTAATCAAAATCAAACAGGAGAAAATCGATGCCATGCTAGGTGATTGATAGAATTGAATTTTGACCATGTCAGTTCAAGTTGAACAGCTGGCTGTTCTCTTCTGGTTCCGGATATATATTTCCATTGATTCCACTAGGGCTTCTGTCGCACATCGATGGGCTGATGATTGCGCCGAGGAAACCCAACAATAAGATTTAAGGAAATTAAACTCAAGTCGCACGCTCCCCCTACCTGGGAAATTGTCCTACGTAGGTCGCAATTGAAGACAGACTTGGCTATATCCATTCTTAAAAGAACTAGTTTCGTTTGCAAGATTCTAGCGGTCGCAGATCCCAAACCTACAACGTAGTACTCACATCCGAACAAAACGTATATTTCTCAAACAGCCACGGCGCAACACCGCAACACCGCAACACCGTAAGCCCGCTACAATTAATGCGTTCCATCCATAAGACTCCGTACTCCACACTCCACCCGTGATCTACGAGTTTACACTCAGGTAAAGTGTAAAAATTCGGTCTACTGCAATGGCTCGTGCCCGAAATCAATAATGCGCTCATGACTCTTAGTAGCACACCTTCTATGTATCCACCGTGTCGCTGTTGGAACGGGAAAGAAGCGGGAGAGGGAGTCCGTTGGAGAATTTGTCCGATATGGAAATGATACTCGTGTTAGGTGGGGGCAACTTGGGTAAACTGGCGCTTTCGGGGAGACTATTTTCACTGATAATGTAGTATTTTTTTCTTTTCCTCGGATCTTTTTTTTGGGTGGCTTTTAGAGTGGAATCAACTATGGAGTTTGTACTGCGTATACACGGATTACCACTTAATCAGCGTTGGTGTGTTGGAGGTGCATATGTAGGGGAGAGTTGGAATGACAAGGTGAAGTAATGTGGACTCGGCGCATATTATGGAGTACGCGTAGTAGACGGGCGCATCGGTATACATACGTTGTACACAACACTGAAGATGCAGATTTCCTGTGTGGAGGTACATACGGAAGCACTGTATATCACATCTGTGTGTGCCTCAGTATACAGAGCTTGTGGAACGATAAAATTGCAGGCTCGATGGAGAACGCGGTGAAGAGCAAAGCGGGTGTATATCGTCCAGGTACGAGAGTGGAATCGGAGCTCGGGGTGATAGGCAAGATTCTGATGTCTCAAAAGTCTTAACGCGAGTCCGGGCAATTACATTCCCTCATTTAGACTAGTCTATTACATTTATTATGGAGAGCACACGGGAGATGATTTCAGGGCTTGAGCCCCCTCTCATTTTCTAAGCAGAAACTAAGCGGAAAAAAAGCAGGGGAAAAGGTCGAATTACATTGTGGATATGAGTTGTTTTGCCGTTTAAACACTTGGCCTTTGAAGCACCTCTAATCTCATGTGAAATATTGCTTACTCCATACAGTAAATTAGTGTGGTCCAGAATGGCAAATCTCATATCACAGACACATGATAACTGCCGAGAATCAAGGCTAGGGTCATAGCCGGTGATATGATTGTGTTCCCCTGTTCCCCTAGAAATGGGTGTGCCATCTCACTGCAGCTGTTCGTTGCATATATCCTTGCCATCTGCTGCACCGGGCTTATTCTAGCGACACCTGTATGTCAAGGTATGATTAAGCTAGACATGTCGACTGTTGGACCATTATCGTAAATGGTAATAACATTCGGAGTACTCCGTATACTCCATAGGAAATAGTCAATATGGAGCAACGTAGTATACGAGGGGCAGCCCCTCAGGATCAGCCCCTGCATGTGTACGGATTACAATATGGATCCCTCATTGATCTTTTTCACATTCCCTTGTTGGGAACAAGATCAGCGTACTGGGGAGATCAGCACCTGAGTTATGAAAAAGGGCGAGTGCATAGACCAAGAATGTGGAACCTGTGACGGATGAGTACCGAGGAGAAACGGGAAAAAAGCTGGTTGCAAGTAAATTGTATTGGGTAGCTGAAGGGGATTTTCGAAGGTTTTGGAGTAATTTCGATCGATTCGGGCTAAGGAATGTGATTGGCCCAACCTCTTTGAGGAGAACCACGTTGGCTTGACCGCTAGGCGCCGTCATTGTCTCTCTTTGACTCAAACCATCTTCCCCCCTCAACATCCACACCCAACAACCTGGGTTTCTGCTCCGCCACCAGTCATACGTTTGACTCCCCCCCTGCTGGACCTGGACCTTGCGTGGCGTCAGGACCCAACATATCCGAGGATGGCAGCCTGCATTTATGAATTGCGCCCGATACACATCTTTGACTTTGGGGATCTAATTATGGTTCGTGGAGTTAAAAGAGTCAATGACGAAGGATAACCGTGAGGCTGCAGCCTTCATCGTCCATCGTGCATTAGACCTTACGTGTCTGTCCAGGTGTATATCCCATGCCGTGTCACACGGCCCCGAAGGTCTAGACTGGGATTGAAACAACTTGGAAATCGCCCAGTTCTGAAGCACCAGCTGATTTCAACATAGCCTATCGGGAGATGGCAGGGCCCTCAAAGTTTCAACCCTGAAGACATTTGGGTATCGGAACGATAATCCCAACGATCGCCGAGTCCTAAGATGGGCCCCGCCAATAATGCTGACCAATATCTGAGTTTAGGGATAGCGACCGAGACGATAAACATAATTATGGATTTTTTTTTTTTCTTTCCTTCTCTTTGTACTGTAGGTTCTTTTTTTTTTTTTTTTTTTCCTTCTTTATCTACAGGTACTTCATATCCCTACTTAATCCCATCACATTTCCCCAAAAACAAGGGACAAAGGAACGCACGGGGACCAGGGTGACCAGGACGTATGCACCCGATGCTACACCGTAAGGAGCTGATGACATGGCGCTAAAGCAAGCCAAATTGACCTGGCCCGCAGCTCCCGCTGCATTCTTTGGGGCTAAGAAGGGGAACCGGGCAATCATAACTCCCGACTTGGAACGTCTGGAAGGATGAAGGAAGCTGGGATCGGCTCCGCCTTGTGTTGCCCCAATAGTGGAATGGTGGAGTGGATTCGGTGAAATGGGAAGTTCGTCGCTAGTTGATTATAGGATCCCTTAGTGGATATACAATACACGCCCTTTCGGAAGTTACTGTTAGAGCGAAAAGAAATAGAAAGAAAAAAAAAAAGACACTGATTTCTGATTTTGTGATCTAGCGCCTGGTCTCGGACGAGATGTTCCTCCGTATGTTACTAGTACTAGTTTACTAGTTCACTATAGCAAAGTAGATTCTTTTGAAAAACAAAACATAGTCCTGGGCCTCGGATCTTACCCGGCATGCAGGGTGGGAATCCCGTATTTGCTAAATACTGAGGTCTATACGGAGTACTCCGTACAACATAAGCTCAAGCCTGCGAAGATGCCTCTGTGTGTGTTCAAGGGGTGATCAGACCAGGGCTTAGAAAAGACATAAAAGACATCCCAATGTGCCGCTGTGACGGTGTGCTCAACATTCCGGAGATCGGCATTTTCCAGATGTCAGCGGTTCCACTAGAGAACTCTGATCAAGACAAACCAGACACATCTGGCCTTCTGGAAAATCATCTCCAATTCAATTATTTCCGCTTTTCCATTTTTATGGGTGCATGAAGTGGGTCTGCAAATGGGTTCCAGTGCAGGCTTGGATGCCGCGTGATGGACTTGTGTTTTGCATCAAGATCGGCTCTTGTAGATTAGTGACCTAGTCTTATATATTGAACTGAAACAATGTTTTTAATATGTATCGGTCCTCTTAAGAGATGTAGTATTTCAATTTAAATTATCTCCCAAATCACTGCCAATATATACTCCGTAGATAGATCAGGGAAAAGAAAAAAAAAAACGCCCCTGACCAAAAAGGTCCGGGCTTTCGCCGGGTATTGGTCTGCTTTTTTGGCTTTGGCAGAGCCCTAAGTACGATCAGATCCACCTGGCCACGTTGTGAATGGCTCCAGTTAACTCCTTTTTTTTGACGGGTTGGGAGGGGTTTTTTTTATCGTATGTGGCGTTCATTTTAGTTCTCCGTTAGTCCATGCCAAGTTTTAGCAATTGGCGCCAATCTTAGGGGACTTGGAACTGTTTGTTCTACCTGCAATCTGCCACCTGCAACCTGCCTATATTTGTACGGGGTACATTGTAAAACTGCAGGTGATATGAGATATGAAGACCGATCACATTCTAAATACATCAAACGTCATTGAAAAAAGAAAAGAAAAGAAAAGAAAAGAAAACCTCCGCTTAATCTGAACTCAAAATTCGAGTTCAATGGGGGTTCAACCGCTTGGGATAACCGAGCTTCCCGCTCAGAGCCCATTTATTTATTTTTTTACTAGGCTTTTTACTAGGCTGCTTTCGAGATTGTCTACCATGTTGTATTCCCATATTCCCATTTGGTGGCGTCTGTGATGGGTTTCTGTGCCACCCTCCCGATGAAACAGGCCCACAGACGTTGAGGCAATCGATACGTTACTACGTATTTAGCTATAATTTTAGTTGGCGCCCCTCTTTTCTTTTCTTTTTCTCAGGTGATACTAGAGAATGACCTCAAAATGTTGATCCTGCAAAAATGCCGGTAGCCTAAAGCCTCCGTTTTCGACTCAGCCAAGCCGAACCTAGTTGATTGGCTGTGAACCTGTAATGAAAACTGAGTCGAGTAGTCTATTTCTGGGCTCGGAACATTTAAACGAGAAAAGTCAAAAAAAGAGTCAGAGTAAATGAACAAATACATCAAAGATCACGGTGGCAATGATGCATCTCCTGCATCATGTACTCCGTACTCCGGGGGGTGGTTATAAAAGAGGAAGTCACGCAGAGAGAATCGCAACCTCACATCCGGGTATGCACGGTACAAAGGGAGAGACGACATGTTCCTTAATCTAGACTTTGGAAAGGGTAATGACGATAATTATCTTAAACTCCACTTGCACCCCTGTTGAAATCCTAAAGGGCAGTGCATAGTCGATCTCTACAAGCCCATCACATTGTAACCCTTGCGTAACGAGCTCGGTAACGCTGTAATTGGGGAAAGGGAAGGAGAAGGGAAGGACAAGGTATCCTATAGATTAATTTCAGCACATCTAACCGCATTCTTACTATCAGAAGAAAGAAAGAGAGACAGACTCAGCCTTGGAAGTGTTGGCCGCAGATCGGGCCGGATGGCGGGTCCAATAGGTACATAATGAGCATTCTCAGCGGCTAATGGATCAAGGATCCTTGGGAATTTTGATTTTTCTTAATTTGCTTTTCTTACCCAAAAGGGGAGAAACGTATAGTAAAAAGGGAAAAGGAAAAAAGAAACCCAAGAAAAACGGGAGCCCCAGTCTAGGGTGTGAGACTACCCATTGGACTATTTGGACTTTTAGCATAATATACCATACGCACTATATCCACTATATCCACTATACACCCTATACACTCTATACACCCTATACACTATATTATACTTATTATACTTATTATACTTATACCTATTTAATTTAATTAATCTATTTCTTCCCCATGTTCGCCTCAAAAAGCATGTTCCATGTTCCCACAGGTCCGATCACACCCCACTCTGCTATTTGCTGCACTCCGGAGTATTCCCTATGGGCCCTGGTCGAAACGGTGGAACTGCCCTGATTCATGGATTCGGTTCCAGGTTGCCCTTTTGTAATTTTTTTTTTTTGGTTTTTCTTTTTTGTCTAGGCTCCTTTAGTGTCAACGTCGTGTCATCTTAGCATGTGCGGTGGCATCGTAGATCCAGGGCTCCCTGGATTCCCTTATAAGCCTGCCTTGCCTAGTAACGGGATCTTCACTGGAATTAAATACTCTCACCCGTTCCTGAACGGGAGCATCAGCTCTTTTTTTATCACGTCCACTCTTTATTCTCAACTCCACACTACGTAAGCTATTTGCTGTCCACCACAATTGATTATATACTGACTTGAGCCCCCTTTAGCCAACTTCCTCTCTTCAAGCTTTTACTTTACAGTTTCTTATATGGCCAATTATTCCTGGCAACCTCAGCCCCCTTCAACAGGCTCTCAATGGCTTCAAGATCATGCTTCTTATAGCCAGTCCACCATGCAAGATCTAACCCATGCTTTCCCTCGACCGAGGCACACTCGCGTCATGAAGCCTCGTAGTGCAGGCAACAGTCCCTCCTCGGCAATTAGGAGACGATCAACCGTGAATCAAAATGTGATGCATGGACTGCCCACTCAATATCAGTCAACCCTAGAAGAAGCCCTTCTCGCCTCAGCCGCCCGGAACTCACGTCCGATGAGCTGGCATCCTTCGTCAGCAAGAACTCGCGGTCTTTCCAACCCGTACATCTCAGATTTCCCTTCGAATAGCTACGCCGGTATGGGGGCCGTGTCTGATCAGTACCTCAGCTCAGACATCTACTGTGACGACAACTCCATCTCATATCCCATGACCGCCGACCCTTCATTCTCCCCCAACTACTTCCCCGTCTATTCAACCATGCAAGAGGACTTGCCACTTCCACAGCACACGCCGGCACTCATGACACATCTCGACCCGATGGGATGGGATGCCACCGCCATGCCGACAGATATGTCAACGATGTCGCACCCGGCCTCCGACAACTGGAACCTCGACATCCTATCAATGGGTACCAACATCCCCCCACCAGAGACAACTTGTCCAAGCTACGTCAGCGTCCCTTCCCCAGGTGAACTGAGTGGCCCATCAACACCGGACTTTCTACCCATTCAACAATTCGAGAATCCATTCCAACTCACCGCCGAGCCCAAGAAGACCGGAAAGGGTGAAGAAGAACTGGTCGGCATGGGCCTCTACAGTCAGCCCAACGGAACACTGGCACGTGCCCCGCAGAGCAAATCAGGTGAGGGCCTGAAGCTGGAAGAGACATTCACCCCATCCGACGAAGACAATGACGACGAGAGTGATGAGGTGGAGATAATTGGAGAACGTGAAGTTCCTCAGCAACCAACCTACCATGAATCTGCGCCTACCATTCGCCAGTCGAACTTCACTTCCAAGCAGCAACCCAGACAGGCTCTGAACTTGCTCCAGCGGTCTTTCTTCTTCGACCACGATGATACCGAGCAGCAGCAGATGGCTGCTGCACAACCTTTTGCTGGTTTCAATCAGCCCTGCATGAACTATGGATATGGGTGGATCTGAGGGGATCGCCTAAAGGAGGATCATTTTTTCTGCCTTTTTTTTTTTTCGCATTTTTTACTGTACCAGCGGCATAGCGTGGAGTTATTCTTTCATCATTTTTATTTTCGGAGTCAGATACAAGGAAAGGATACCCTGGGACGAGACGGCTCGCATCTAGCTACATTTACAAGTGTACTCTCATACACGATCTGATACACAATCTATCTCAATATTTGCTACCTATCATTATTTCCATTTCTAGTTATTAAATCCCAGGGTGTCAAATCATCGGCGCATTTCAAATTCTCGAAGTATACAAACTCGCTCTCTTATTGGCTGCGGAAAAAATAAGCTTCGGCAAAACTTTCCCAAAGGAACAACAATCCCCCGAAAATATTTCGCAGGCTATCAACGAAAAGTTAAGCAAGCAAAAGGTCACTCATCCGGCGTCGGATTTAATTTCTAATTTCTCATTTCAAACTGAGCACCGAGAATGGCGAAGGTCATTTTCACCGCTTGGAAAACCAAGTCCCAGTTGCTGGATGTGCGGAACGAGTTTTATCCTCCGTCTGCGTACGCTGGACCCGATTTGCGTTCCCATGGCTGTGCAGTGGTATGTTACATATGCATGAGGGACAGAATTAATTTGATGTCCAGCTGTGTATGTGGTTTACTAACGATGTCCGAAATTAAAGGTCGAAGCTTGGAAACTACGCGGCAATGTACCGCACCATGTTGAAGCTACGGCGTTGTTGACAGATGCCATTCTCCATGATGATGCGCAGAGGAATTCCATCTTCTCAATTCGTGCTACATATTCTGCAGCTTTCTGTCGGTGAGTGTTGAGTCTACCTGGTTCTCTTTTTTACATCTGTCCGAAAAAAACCACTCTGATTCCCTTGGTGATGATATCTCAAATTCAAACTCCCTATTCACATAATATATCCATTTTTTTTAAAAAAAAAATAATAATAACTAACGCCAGTTTAGCTTCGTAACCGGTCTCGTGGACACCAAGATCCACGGCGTTCGCCGAACAATGTTCCAGCGCGCCACAGACCTAGGCCTCCCAGCCTCCTTCGTGGAACTCCGCCACGAAGCAACCCACCGTGAGCCGCCGTCGCTTGTCGTACTGCGCAAAGCTGCACAGCGCTCGCTCGAGTGGCTGTGGGACAATTACTGGGCCGGTGTTGCTGATGACTCCGGTGCGTCCGCATTGACCCATGACGACAGTGCGTCTGTCAGGGCCGCCTTGTGTGACGCTCTACAGCCTCTATCCGATGGATCGATGGATCCTGTGCCCAAGAAGCGGAAGCGTGATCAGGCTGTTTCGGTCGCTATGCGGCTTGTCTCGGTTTGTAATGTTTCTGCGACTGGGGTTAGGCTTCTGTCTTCTGTTTTGCTCGAGCGGGGGTTCCTGGTGCCTAATGGGCGGCAGTGAGTTTTCTCCCTCCCCCCCCCCCCCTTCTTTTTGCGGTTTTCTCAGCTCTCTCGTCAGGGGTACAGCTGATGTCGGGGAGTACATGCTGACTGTGACCTTTTTCTACTTAGACTTGGGGATTCGCTGAATGATACATTCAAGGAATGGAGCCCGGTTCTGCAAAAGGTTGCAGAGAGTCATCCTGCATTTTTGAGGCATTTGACCGAAGATCTGGTGAATGATCTGGCTTTTAAGAATACAACCGATATATCGGCAGATGCGTCTTCCGAGGCACTGTATCTGTGGATCGCGCATATCCTGACATCTCCTGCCTGGGAGTTCCACAGGCAATCATGTCCGCAGAGCTATGTTCTTCGAGCTTGCGATGAAAGTCCACACCACTGGACAAAGATGTTGGGAGATCAGTTAAGGAAGCACGCTAGTAAGCCCAAATCAGCTCTTGCGGCTCGAACTGCTGCCAAGAACCGGGTCTCGAAGCCCAAACACGTTAGAAATGACTCGCAATACGCTCCAACTCAGCTCTCGGACAAGCTGCTGGAACATGGATGGGGGTTCCTGGAGAAATGGGACAGTCGACCATTGGGCGTCGTATCGAGTAATTAGAATTAGACGGGCATATCTCCAATTCAAAAATTCACACGCTGCTGGCAGCGTTAGAGAACCCACGGCTAATATCTCCTATACGATATACACTGCATAGTAATGAGCAACCAATCAAAAGCAATGGCATTACTAAAAGCTGTCAAGGTAAAGGGAAAATAGTTCTTCCGGATGACGTTTGTACTCCGAGAGATCTACCTCGGCAGATGTACCTCTTTCAAGAGCTCCCCGCACTTTTTGGATTCTTCGTTGGTGATGAACTTTCTAAGAACACAATTATTCGGAAATAGCTCGCGTCTATTCAAGTCACAAGTCAGAGCCATGCATATCCAATCAATTCCTATGTGTATGTTGATCTTCCGGTCTCGTCATATAGATTACCAATCAACAGCGGCAACCTTGGGATACTGCAGGAGGAATATTTGCTTATTCTAGGCCAATTCTACAGGGACGGGGAAGGGCAACAATTACGCCTACCTAGTGACGGACGAATCGAGCAAGAAGTCGGTTATTATTGATCCGGCCAATCCTCCGGAGTGAGTTGAATCTTTAGATCAGGTGGGATCTACTGAATGAGCCGAAACTGATTCTATGGAATTGCAGGGTTGCGCCGGAACTCAAGTCTCAGATTGATTCTGGCAAGATTGACCTGACGGCCATTGTTAACACTCACCAGTATGTGAATTGAACTTTCATGGACTGGTAAAAAGAGAACAAAAATCTCGGTTTTGCTGACATCTGCTGAAGCCACTGGGATCATGCTGGCGGTAATAATGACATTGTATGCATGCTTTCTCGGGATATTGGGTGTTACCTCGATCTAACATGTTGCACCAGTTGAAACAATTCAAGGGCCTTCAGGTCATTGGTGGTAAGGACTGCGCGTCTGTCACCAAGACTCCCGCGCATGGCGAGGAATTCAAGATCGGAGATCGTATTTCAGTGAAGGCATTGCACACTCCCTGTCATACGCAAGACAGCGTCTGCTACTATATGCAAGATGGAGACCAGCGTGTTGTCTTCACAGGCGATACTCTCTTTATTGGCGGTAAGTGTATCATTTTCAAAAATTGCATCCCACGTCCGTCGATGGAGTGTGTCATGGACTAATTTTGAAATCAGGATGTGGTCGATTCTTTGAAGGAAATGCGAAGGAGATGCACAAGGCCCTGAACGAGACCCTCGCGGCTCTGCCTGATGACACTAAGGTTTATGTAAAGTTGTCTTTTCGTATTGGTACAGGGCTCATGCTGACTCCTCCTAGCCCGGTCATGAGTATACCAAGGCCAATGTCAAGTTCTGCATTGCAGTGTCGCAGTCAGAGCCTATCAAGAAGCTCCAGGCGTTTGCGGAGAACAACAAGGAGACACAAGGGAAATTCACCATCGGCGACGAGAAGGTAAGAACTGGACTCAAGCGATATTTGCGGTCGAGACTGACAGACATTTAGCTCCACAATGTGTTCATGCGCGTCAATGTAAGTTCCTTGTCCTTTGCTCCTATATCGGCCGTTGCTGATCTAAAATACATAGGACCCCGAGATCCAAAAGGTGACTGGCAAGACCGACCCTGTTGATGTGATGGCAGCATTGAGAGAGATGAAGAATGCAATGTAAAGTATGGGAGTCAAGTTAGCGAGCAAATTTACTGGATGACATGTTGCGATATATATCCGTGGAGAGCGTGCTTTCTTGAGAGCGTATCTCCAACTAGACTAGATTGCCGAGATAGAAAACCGTATAGAACCCATATAAGCAAGATCTCCCATAAATCAAGTTATTCTAGATATTTTGTAGCTCTTGCTCTACCACGGAGACGCGGAACATCCTGATGATAAATGTAAAGGTGACTACGGTGAGAGATGTGAAGACCCAGATAACTTGACGATGAAAAGCAAACTATTGGGGTATTAAGGCTGCTATTTGCGGTTCGGACTTATAGTAACGTGCATGCAGCATTTGCATCTCGAAACATAGACCAAGCAACTGGGACCACCTGCATGAGGAAAAAAACCCGCAAGTTGACCCCACGCTGGAACCTACACTTATATGAAACGTGACATCAGCTGTCATCATCAGAGTGATAGTACCTGCTTTGGAGGGCATACAGCCAGTGAAAGATCAAATAAAACGGCCATATATTCAAATATCTCAACTCATAACCCATCACTCGTAGAAGATAGTCTTGACCTTATGCGTCGCGTTGACAACGTTCTCATAGATCTTATAATCTATAATCCCAACACACCCATCAGTCAGTCTCTAGTCCAATTCACCTTGAGGGAAAGCATTCAACACATACCACAATCAGCTGGGTCACCCCACTCCGTCGAGCCCAGTACACGGATTCCGTATCCCTACAAGAACCAAATCGTCAGCATTAACTCTCGATAGCCATGAAATCCCGATCTTAAGAGAGCAAGTCCATATCCCTCCGGGATAAATGTCAAACATACCTGTCCACCCTCTAGATCAGCAACCTTCCCCACAACCTCAACCAACTTCCCGACCTGCAAGCGCGCATCGGGCTTCAAGATCAGCGTAATATCGCCATTGTTGCCGCAGGTGAGTGTGCCGGTATTCCCGTGGAGCGCGCTGATGGTGCCGAGTACGCGGACGGTGTTCGAGCTAGTGCTGGAGGGGTGGAAGGCGTGGAGGTGGGAGGGGAGGATGCGGGGAGTTTGAAGGGACATTTTTGTGAATATTAGAAGGTTCTCGACTGTCTGAGATTTCAAGATTTGACGGTGTTGAGGTGATGGAGTTCGTTATCTTGGTTTGATGCTGGAAAACGTAAGTTAGGTTGATCGACGCGAGGCGCGGAAACGCGTGGTCACGTGGTGATTAATTAGTATGAAATGGTTAAGTGAACTTTTTAAGCTGGATATCTGGCAATAATATGCGAAAACATCTCTCAGTGAGAATTACGTTCTGGATTGTACCGAGAGTAAAAAAAAGCACTCAGGTACACTAGATCAACGTCTGAGTTGACGCAGTCAATTATCACTTCTGCCCTCCCGCAGCTTTTCGATATCATCACGTGATCACATATCAATCTCCAGCAAAAGCTTCAGCCCGATACGTCAATTCAACGAGTCCACACCACACCATACGGCAGAGCAGACCGAGCGCAATTGCCTGGCTGTAAACTGCAAGCTAGGCAACGGAGCTCTATATCTTTTTGCATAACCGACAGCCACCCCCCTTCTACATATCACATCCGACCACAATGCCTCCTCCGCTCCCCTCTTCCCACCGGGGAATGACCAAAAACCCCGTCAGGCCTGCTCGCTACCGCCCTGGAAAGGCTATCGCAGAAGAGCCCTCATCCGAGGAAGAGGATGAGGAGGAAGAAGATGACGAAAAGGAACGGGAGGCGCGACGAGAACAAGAGCGGCGCAGACGAGCCGAGGCACTGCGCCGAGCAAAAGCGCCCAAAGCGAGCTCATTCCCAGCCTCCGCTGTAGCAGGCCAAAAGGTTGAGGAGGATGACGACGAGGAAGGGTTCGTCACCGAAGACGAAGAAGATGACAAGCCCGCACCCACACCCGCGCCGGAAGCAGTACCGCATGCTACGACCGACGATTCAAAACCTACTGTATCTAGAACTGCCGCGGAGAGTGACGAAGAAGAAGAGGAGGAAGAGGAAGAGGAAGAAAGCTCCGAAGAAGAGAGCAGTTCCGAAGACGAAGCACCCCGCCGCATGCTCATCCGACCAACATTCATCAAAAAAGACCAGCGCAACACCGCAGCCTCAGCAGCGGGCCAAACACAAGCACAAGCCGACGCCGCTCGAGCGGCCGAAGCCGAAACCCAACGCGCCGCGCAACGCCAAGAAAAAGCCGACCAACTAATCCGCGACCAACTGGAGAAAGAAGCGATAGCACGCTCAAGCGCAAATCGCGCCTGGGATGACGACGAGCTCGTCGAAGCCGAAGACGAAGAAGCCATCGACGACACAGATGGTCTAGACCCCGAGGCTGAGTATGCAGCATGGAAACTGCGTGAACTGAAACGTGTTCAACGATCCCGCGAAGCGATCGAGGCTCACGAGAAAGAGCTCGAAGAGATCGAGCGTCGGCGGAACCTTACGGCTGAGGAACGGGAGCGCGAGGATAGCGAGTTCATTGCGCAGCAGAAGGAAGACCGCGATGCTACGCGCGGACAGACGGGCTTTATGCAGAAGTATTATCATAAGGGTGCTTTCTTCCGCGATGATCTTGAGGCGGAGGGTCTTAATCGGCGGGAGCTTATGGGTGCTCGTTTCGAGGATGATGTCAACCGCGATACGTTACCGCAGTACATGCAGGTTCGTGATATGACGAAGCTTGGGAAGAAGGGTCGCACGCGTTATAGGGATCTTAAGTCTGAGGATACGGGGCGGTTTGGGGATGGGTTGGAGAACAGGAGGAGGAGGGATGGGCCGCCTCAGGGTGTTACGGATGAGAGGTTTATGCCTGATCGTCGGGGTGGCGATGATGGGGATCGTGGGCCCACGGGTGCTAATGCTAGTGTTGTTAGACCTCGGCGCACGTCGAGATCGCGTTCGCCTCGGCGGGACAGGCGTGATGATAGAGATTCTGGTCGGGTTGAGAGGAGTCGGTCTAGGGAGAGGCGGAAGCGCAGTCTGTCGCCTTATGATGATCGTGAGAAACGTCGGCGGGTGGACAGTTCATGATTGGTTTCAGTGGTCAAGCGGGCGCTGTTGATATCCTACTTTGCTGCTGGCGTTGGGGCGCCAGTCTATCACAAGGTACATGGTGGGATCTGCTTCTTGATATCTGAATTTCGAGCAACCAATGTGCCAATACTCTTCTGTATGTACATGTACGTAAACGTAATATAGCATATCCTCTCCTGGAGGAACTGTATTGTATGATATCTGCTGGCCGACAATCAAGGACTTTTGTGTACAGATCCACAGCAGATTCCAAGAACTGCTAACAAGTTCCTTATATCGACCGTCCAGAGTTGTACTTGCATGACTTCGTGAAGGGAGTGTCGGTGCCGGAACCAAAGAGCCGCGAAATAAGAGCTTCATAACCACCCTATCACATCTCAAACGCCGTAGATCTATCACGCTAACAAGCACATATCGATCAGCCTGCAGCCTGCCAAATACCGCAAAAGCAAGCTCATTCATTATTTAACACCCGCCCTCTCAAGCACCTTCTCCCTCTCCATAACCGGATCCCCAAAGCGAACCAGGAACACCGTTCGACTAGGCCAGAGTTCCGTAGGCTGATTATGCGCCGAAACCTTGGTCTCAAAGCCACACCCATCACAGACACCCTCGATGATACCGGCAACATAGGCAGCGCAGTTGAGCATGCTCATATCGCGGGGCGCGCTGATATATGTGTTGACCATCGGGTCGTTATCGGTGATCATGTATTCGTTGGGGGTGTCCGGGGACACAGAGTGCTCGAGGGCATCTGCGGCGCGATTGAAGAGCAGGCGCCAGAGGGGGCCGTGGATCAGGTGCAGCAGGGTTATGATGCGGAGGGGCCTGTTTGGGGGTGAAGAGGAGGTGGAGGAACTTGAGAGGGCGGAGGAGGAGGTTGACGTTGAGCGGTAGAAGAGGAGATCGAGGAGGCGGAGGCCGAGGGGATAGCCTTGTTCGTTTAACCTGGATGGAGGGGTTGTGAGCCACGGGTTGTTGGGCAGGTACATGGCGATGATTGTTTTCTGGGAGGGCAGGGGAGAGGATTCTAGATTTGAATCAGGGGTGTTCTCTTACCGTTTCTCCAGATCTTGGATACCTGTTACTCGTCGTTGAGCATATGTGACCATCTCCCCGAATAGAAAGGCGAAGCTCGCCCGGCTGAGTTCTGCATTACGAGTTCGGTTCAGGTGTCGGTCGTAGATGGTCTTGCGATTGGAAGGTACACGTAGCCCAGGGGATTGTTGTGATAGCTGGGCTTGCTGTGTTTGCTGTGTCTGTGGTCTGTCGGTCCCTTGCGCTGTGTTGCCATTGCTGATGGATTGCATCGTGGCATGTCGAGGTGGTGCCGCCATAGGAATGGCGTTGTATTGTAATTTGACTCAGAACCGAGAAATATTGGCTTGGGAGCTTGAGGATCTGGTCAAGTTGAGGTATCTATGGGAGGTGTTGGCTAGCGTTGGCAATGGGGTAGTGGATGCGGTACGGCGGAGCACAACTCCCTCGCGTGCAATCCTACGAGATTTTACTTTTGCGCCGAGAAACGAGAAAGATGGACTATACAATACTACATGATCTGATTGGAAGAAATTTGTAGATCAAACTGACATTCATTTGATACTGATATACTAAAGGTTCTAACTGTTGCACTTCCACTCCCGACACGGCACACGAGTCGAGATATCCTCTCAAGCCCAGTCTAGCAAAGCAGTGACCATCAAGAACGCAACTAGCTATAGAGCCAGACACTGGACACTGCAAAGCGATGATATGTATTCCGTATGGCATCGAAGATCGAATGTGTAGCCAAAGAGAGATCCTATTTCTGAGACAATTAGCAACTGTCTCGACTGTAAAACATGAAAAGAATTCTCAAAAAAGAACAGCCAAATATTTCTCAGACATCCAAGGAAGATATTCCGCTCAATGCCGCCTTGATTGGGTTCAAGCGACGGCTAGCGTGGAAACTGCGAATGTAGGAAGATTTTCATCATCGAACGGCGCGAGGCCGTTGGCTGTGGGAAATGCAATGCAAGAGGAAAGTTGCAAAAAAACTTACCAAGTCAGTTAATAAGAGCATATGTGATTCTATTCACATATGCTCTTTGAAGGTGTCGGGCTCAACGGGGTTCCAAAGCCAACATTAAGACCTTGAAACTGAGTTGGTTGAGGAAGATGAAGAAGAAGAATTTTCTGGCCGGGCGATGGCCTTTTATAGGGCCGAGCGGAGCCGCAGTTTCAAGCGAAAAAAAGAGTGTCCACTTGGAAAAAAAAAAACAAAAAAACAAATGGCTGGGAATTACAGCTAATTAGTATTAGCTAAAATAATCAAAGTGTTTTTGTTTTTATTTTAACTAATCCCAGGTCATATCGTTTACGTAGATCTGATTTTTTAAAAAAAAGCATGTACGCCCATAAATGAACCAACCAGTGGCTATAACCCAAGCAATCAAACCAGATAGACACCAAAAATGCTCATAAAAGAGGAAGAAAAAGAGGAGGAAAGAGCCGGAGGTCATGCTGAAGAAGGGTTTTCTCCACTTCAGCTACTTGAAGCTCTTCTGTTTTTGTCGCGAATTCCAATTCAAAGTCTTGGAGATGCTATGCACCCAGCCCTCACCCTGTCCACCGGGAGGCAAGACATTGGCAAAAGGATATCTCGAAGCCGACACAGTAACGTAGTCACCGGGATGTAACTCGACTCTGGGGTTTGTCAGTCAGACAACAAATCCAAGCGCCAAACAAATAGCGACACAGCAGATGCAACAAATATAACAAACTCACCTTTCACGTCCATCAAAGCTAGCCCATGAGCTCGTGCGTGCATCGTATGGCACACCCATACGCAAGACAATAGTGTCAGGTAGAATAATCGGCCGGAAGGATAGCGTGTGCGCGCAGATGGCGGTGACAAGTATAACGGGGTTTTCCGGGTGTGAAAGAGAGCCGCCAGCGGCGAGGTTGTAAGCAGTCGATCCGGTTGGGGTAGCAATGCATATTCCGTCAGCGAGCAGGGTTGTGAAGTGCTCGTCG